CAAGAAAATAGACTCGGTTTCGTGTGGGGATGGAGTAGAGGTATTAGCAGTTACAGTGAATATGGCTAATTTTGAGCTCCTCATATACAACGTCTACAAGCCCCCTAGACGTAAACTAGAAGCAGAGGCAGTGCTTGCCTTGGCCACGCAGGAAAATTTAATTCTTGCTGGAGATTTTAATGCTCATCATCCAGAGTTAGGTGCAACTGGGCCAGCCAATGCAGATGGGCGCCATTTAGCTGCTGCTCTGCGAGAAGTACCTGAAATTACACTTCTCAACACTGGGGAACCCACTCACATTCTAGGAGGTTCCCTTGATCTTACATTCATCTCCACAGCACTCCAGCAACAGGCGAAGTGGGAAGTAGACCCGGTGATCACTAGTGACCACTATGCTACTGTCACGACACTCAACCTGGCACGACCTCCTACACCTCCTGCGCGGCCTCGGTGGAATTTAGGAAAGGCCAATTGGAATGTATACCAGGAAGAACTTGAAAAATGGTATGCAACGTACACGCCACCTGAGGATTTGAACATACACGAGACCAATCTGCAGGAAGCCGTTGCAGCTGCTGCGAACAAAGCTATTCCAATCATTATCACAGGTAACACGAAACGAAAGAACTATTGGTTCTATAGTAATGACGTTAAAGAACAGAACCACAGAGTCAATATCTTCAGAAAACATCTAAAGAGAAACCCCACACCAGAAGGAAGAACTCTGCTACGAGCGGTGATATCTGAAGCAAGGCGAGTTTCTCGAGAAGTAAAGGAGGCAAGATGGTTTGAGTGGTGTCAAACTCTAAATGAACATAGTAGTCTTGGCAAGATATGGGGTCAGATTAAAACTATATCAGGTCGACCAGCCCGGCCACAGGCATGTATTCAACCATTGCAGGAGGCTGAGAGACTTGCTCTCCAATTTGCAGAAAGAACAGCTTCATATCAGCTTCCTGCAATGGTCCGAAGGCAGCAAGACCACTTAAAACAAGAGAGGATGACAGTCATTCATGAGGGCTTAGCTATAAATGACGAATGTGACTGTCCCTTCACCGAACAGGAACTAAGCAGAGCCAAAAAGGGTGGTAAGGACACTGCACCAGGTGCTGATAACATTACATACTCAATGATCGCACATGCAGGTCCTGCTGGAGACCGAGGGATGTTGGACGTCATCAATGCGTCTTGGCAGCAAGGCAAACTACCGCCCTCTTGGAAGAAAGCAGACATCATACCGATTCCTAAGCCGAATGAACCTGGCAATTACAGACCCATTTCCTTAACATCATGCGTTAGTACAACTGCAGAACGGATGGTCTTAAATAGGCTACTGTGGAAGACTGGAGACCTTCATAAACACATATTTGGCTTCACTAGAGGTGTAGGTACTGCCAACTGCATAGCAACATTACTAGGAACAGTTAACTCGGGTCCAGCTATAGTGGTCTTCCTTGATCTGGAAAAAGCATTTGAACTTGCAAGCCCGCCAGCAATACTACACACCTTAGTTAAAAAAGGTGTGAGGGGGAAAATGCTAGCATGGATTCAAGATTACCTAAGTCACAGGTATGCCAGAGTAAAGTTGCAAGGACAAGTGTCGGACTACCACTTGCACGAGAATGGGACTCCACAAGGAGGAGTCCTCAGTCCTAGTCTTTTTAACATCCTTATGGAAAACCTTGTTACCATGTCCTTTACAGAAGGGGTTACATTGCTAAGCTATGCTGATGATCTAGCATTAGTCGTTACGGGTCCTTCACTTCTAAATAAAGCTCAAGGTGCTTTAGATCAAGTGACATCTGAATGCAGTGTTTTAGGGCTAAAAATATCTGCACAGAAGTCTAAGGCGATGAGACTAGGTGGCAAGGCTCCAGACAGGCACCTACGCATTCAGGACATTAACCTTCAGTGGGTTCCACAATATCGATATCTCGGAGTGTGGATTGATTTTAAGATGACATTCAATAAGCAAATTCAATATCTAAAGGAGAAAGCAATGTCACGAATAAATATAATGAGAGCAATCACAGGGCCCCGTCTAGGAGCGGGACACAGAGTGTTGAGAATGTTTTACATACACGCCGTTCGTTCCCTGGTTGATTATGCAGCACCTGCCTTACTCACTCTTTCTCCTGGTCAGTGGGCAAACGTTGAGGTTCTTCAAAATGATGCATTGCGAGTCATAACAGGTGCTCCCAGATGGACTAAAATCCTGAACCTAAGACTAGAGACAAAGCTAACGTCGATTGAAATAAGGGTAAAGGGGATTGCTGCGTGCATGCTGACCAAGATATTGACTAGACCTAGAATCAGTTCACTTCAAGATTTGATCACTGGAGCACTAACTCTGGACAGAAGAGCCTCCAATAGCAACAGGTGGACCCATTGTGCGATAAACGCCATCGATACGTTCGATATGGCAAACACAGTCACTGAGAGGGGTGTCGACGACATACATGCAGACTTTGTTATACAAGCCCCTTGGGAATCTCTGCCAGCAGACTTTCAGATTATGGCTCTTGACGGAAAGAAGAACCAGACACATCCTCATCTGCTACGTCACATTGCACAGATGCATATAGAAGCAAACATGGCATCCGACAGCTTCACTTACTTCACGGATGGGTCAGTAGACCAGCAGGGACAGGAAACCGGAGCTGCAGTTAAAGCAGGAAACTCTGTATATAGTTGGAGGCTCTCAAATGGGTGTTCAACTTTACAGACTGAGATGCTTGCCATTCAAAAGGCTTTGGAACATGCTCTTGCTGAACACCGCCAACATGTTATCGTCCATACAGATTCGAGAACCGCCATTGAAACCTTGCAACAGGAACACATATGTGATAACATCCATCTGATCACCAATGTCTTATCATTCATGCACACACTCCACCGACAAGGCCGACGGGTGCTTATCAACTGGGTGCCAAGTCATGTGGGACTATTAGGTAATGACATTGCAGACGAAGCTGCGAAACTTGCTACTAAGAGGAGGAATGTAGACATTTACATACCACCGAGTCTCTCCCAGATGAAGAAAGTGATTCGAAACAGAGCAATGCGAAGGCTGTACAGTGACCACAACACAGCAGTTGCAACATCAGGATCTGCGGGTTGGTACAAGAATTCCACCAACTACGAACCACTTAGTTTGATGAAAGGGGGCAGTAGAACAACAGAAGTGCACTTACATCGCATCAGGCTTGGATACCCATGTGCATGGGAAATAGGCTTACGGGTTCCGGAAGGTGAGAGGAAATGTCAACACTGTGGAGAAATGCCCGACAGACCACTGGAACATTATCTAACACAGTGCACAGTTACAAACCCGTTAAGATTTCACCTTCGATTCGACAGAGCAGAGGAAGTTGTTAAACACATATGGCAAAATCTTACTGAAGCGACCATACGGGTCATACATACTCATCCTCCGCCCAGGTAAACCAGAAACGAGCATCACTTAGTGGGCCAGCCAGAGGCTTAGGGCCCGCGCAGGATTATCCCTGCTAAAAAGAAAAAAAAAAAAAAAAAAAAAAAGTTGATAGTGTTCTCGTCTGCCGACAGATGGCATCAGCTGTGTTATTATTACTTCGAATTCCCTTTAAACACTGATCTACAAATCCCTAGGCTTATGATAAGGTTTTATACCATTTATGATAAGTATTAGATAACTGGAGTTCCGCAATTACTTTTATTTATCAACTGTTCAGGATATCATATATCGTCTGGTTAGGACGTACTGCTCTCGATTGATGAAGATTAAGCCACCCAAGAGGTGGCACGGGCATGAATAGCCCGTAAATACTGCTCTCGTAATATTATTCAGGGGGGTGGGGAAACTATCAAGTGAAAGCGCCAAGCCATTACGACTATATAGCACTCGGAAGGGGTCAGGATACGGATTTGGGATGGAACTGGGGAAAGGAATTTTGCCCAACCTCTTGGGCGGTTGGGGATTGAACGCGGACCTGTAGGAAACGAGACCGTCGCTCCCAAGTGGTTAAGCGTAATATTATTAAAACAACAATTTATGCATATAATAACAGCATTTCACACTAAAAATACTTGGATATATTGAAATTTGGTAGTGAATTCCAATCTAGGAATCTCCTATGACTAAACTGTACTTTTTAATTATTTTTATGTACTTACTACTTATTATCAAATTATTATCAAATTATAGTACTTACTATAATAATTAAATAAATTATTTTATTTAATATTTAAATTAAATGATAAAATAATAGGTAATAATAAATCATTGTGTAGGGGGGACAGGCAGCCAGTCTGTATATATACATGTTAGGCTTATACCAAGGTGCCACAAAGGTGCCAAATTAAAGACTGGGAGCTGCCGGGGCGGGTCCAAGGGCTGCTGGCGGCCCTGGCCAGGCTGAACTTCCGCGCCCTTATAATCACCATTGTTTAATAATCTTCACACGGCGAAACAACTGTAAATATAGGAATAGTTTATTACAACATACACGATAAAGAAAACAGCTCGGAAACTAAGGAAATAAAGCTGCCGAAAAACATTAAAGTCCATTTCAAGTTCAAGTATGTTTATTGTCGGTTCGTTCATGCTAGGCTTGCAGTTACACAACTGGTCGGGGTCCGCTTACACAACTGGTCGGGGTCCGCTTACACAACTGGTCGGGGTCCGCTTACACAACTGGTCGGGGTTCGGGGTGCACAATAAACCACCACTCACTGGTTGAATAGGGGATGCTTAATGAACTATCCACCTCTGACGGCAGAAAATCAATATATATATATATATATATATATATATATATATATATATATATATATATATATATATATATATATATATATATATATATATATATATGTGTGTGTGTAAGTGCAGAAATAATATTAATAAAACAATTAACATCGTGTAGTGTACTCTATATATCAAAATATATTACTTTGAAACCCATATCATTCACTAAAAAAAATTTGGGCTACTCTAATTACAAATTCGCTACTTTTAGACCGCCAGCTCGCTACTTTCAGCAATTTAGACCTGGCAACCCTGGGTCACAGTGTGGTACAAGCAACGATTCGGGGAGGTGACCACTCCACCTCTCCCCAAGACCAGCATTCCACCGAGCCGCATACACGGTAGAGTTGCTAAGAGTTGGTATAGGGAATAGGTCATCTCATTGCCGGTTCATGTAGGAAGTGTTCAGCCAGGGAGTGCTTTGATTTAGATTTTGTTTAGTTTTGAATAAACCATTTTGCTAGTAAATTGTCTTTTTATTCATTTCCATTTTATGTAATTTATTTATATGCACCGGACCACGTGGTGCCCTCGAGGCCGAGTTGAGTTGGGCCGCAGATTCTAACTCCTAGTAAGAATTCATTATCCCTTTGACTTTAGTAATTCCGCACTTTTAACGTAAAATTCATCCCTCCCATATATTACTAGGGGGGATCAAGCCCCAAGGTTTATTGAATAGCATGATCGATCCAGACCTCGGCCATTACTCAGTGATAATGGTCTGGTGGTGGCAGCGCAAGGCGATTCTAGAGTTTTGCTAGAAGTCTGTTTTCACGTCATAAGGGTTGTAGAATCTTAAGCCGGTCAACGGTTTAAGACCAAGTGGCGTGGGGTCGGCTCAAGTGTAGCTCTGGGGTCCCTTGGTTTGAGTAAGTGAATAAAGAATACGGACGCGGGGTGAAGGTAGAAGAAGATTAAAAGTAAGAACGCACCTCACCCGTGTTACACTTGCACCGCCACTATCACGCATAGCGTTTCCGGCAAGTCCTTAATCCTAATATTCCCCGGAATACGACCCGCCAAATCGTTTATGCCCATTTTACTGTTGGGTAAACAGAGGCTACAGTTAGGGATTGGCGCCCAGTAAATCCTCCTCGGAACCTGGCCAAAACGCTCGCGAAACGCCAGGCGAGTGTGTTACCACTTCGCCACGGGGACTGCGTGGCGAAGTTGCTCTGATAATTAAGAAATTTATAAAATAATGGTTATAATGCAATTGAAAATTTTGGCAGGATAGCCTAGAGTGCAAGAAGATGGAGGACAAGGTTGTGATCCGACGGGCGAGGCTTGGTGATGCAGAGTCTGTGTTGGAGGTGTGTAGAGCAGTGCAGGCGGAGATGGCCAGGCAGGAGGCGAGGACTCAGCTCCTGCACCTCCTCACCCACCCTTACCTCGTGGGCCTCACCCTCTTCACCTTCCTTACCATCCACTACACCCTGCAGGTAGGCCAACGTGTCTTCATCCCTCACTAACGTCTCTCAATAAATTACTGTTGTGTTTTTCTTTTTACTTTTAATTATTTTGGGTAAAAAACCCTATAAATAATATCACTTTACCACATACTGTACTACGTTACGTTAAATCCCCAACTCCACCTCGACAGATGAGATGAGATGTCCAATGGCAATCAAGTGCCATTGGACATCAAGCACTATTTATTCCCCCATGAAAATACTTCGAATCTTAATCAACACATTCTTTTTCCGAAATGCCCGGACTCGACACACTGGACGGCTGAGTTTTAATAAGATGCCATCACAGGTATATCATAATCAGAATAACAGACTCAGTGGCTCTCATGCTAAGCACAGATAAGGTACTTAACTAAAAGATGTGCCCAAAACACCCCAAAACCGCATCCCTTGGTCCCCAGTTACAGTAGGCTCCACACACCCTGTGGGTGGCTGCCGGGTTGTACAAATATCGTAATATGGACACTTTCACACAAATTTTATTATCTAGATGAATTTTGGTGTTCAGTCCCCGAGCCTATTATGTGACCTCTGTAACCTTTTCCACTACCGCCACAGAATGGGTATGGCGTGCATAATAAATGAACTAAACGGAACTTACACAAAACACTCAACAATCCCAATGCCACTGAGTCAATCCCTAGCATTAATGTAACATCCTAGCTATAAGATCAATCAGTCACAGTATCACAATAACATTTCTCACTGGTGAGGGGCTATATAAGATACTCTTACGCCCGGCTATAAGATACTCTTACTTGATACCCGCCACTCTGATTCAAGACCGGAGAACTGTCTACATATATCTAAGGATAAGTAACTACCTATTACAACAGTACACATATGAAGTGATACACAATCTTCCCGGCTTGGCGCTCTCTTTTGATAATTACTTAAACTTGCTTGCTAGCTTACAACAAGTCTTACGTGCTTGCTGATGTGAATAAACTTGAAAGTGTACTCTCAGATTGATTACAAGGAGTGTGTTGGTACAGACGAGTGTCGCGTGGTCAGCGGTGATGGGGTGCTGGGTGGTGGCGCTGGTGGAGGCCGCCCGCTACTGGCTCTTCTGGGGGAGAATCCGTCGGGTGTTCCAGCCTGGTCCAGACCTTCTCAACTTGGTCCACTACTACTCTCATCCTCGCAGGTCTCGCTTTCTCTATACTGTGTTCTTCTTTTATACATTTCCTATAGCGTAGATATAACAATATTTTTAGTAATTATATAAAGGTGCAAATTCATTGAGTCAACGTATAGTGTGTTCTCATAAGTTTATGTTAACTTGTGATATTTTTTCGATTAATACTAATAGATATAGTAACTAGCCACAATTATAGTTTTTATATATTTTTTCTAGGGTAAAACTGAATTGCTACATTTAGCATATTTATGTGAATGCTTCCTTCGTTAAATATAGCGTTTTAGCAGGTCGTCTTAGGTGACAAACCTCGTGAATGACAGGTGCCGTATCTGAAAATCCATCTTGAAAAAATCCTCAGGACAAATGTGGGGGTACCCTTGACAAGCCGCCGGCTTCCTGTCCTCGTCGAGACCACTAGTGTTAGTGGTCCTCAGGTGGTGAATGAAAGGCATCGTAGATTAAAGGTGTACTCACCTACTTGTGCTTGCGGGGGTTGAGCTTCGACTTTTTGGTCCCGTCTCTCAACTGTCAATCAACCGGTGTACAGATTTCTGAGCCTATTAGGCTCTATCGTATTTGCATATGAAACTGTGTATCGAGTCTGCCTCCACTGATTCAAAGCATTGGATGCAGAATTCAATGCATTGTGTCAGCTAATATATGCTATTTCTGTTCTGTACTTAATTTAGGGTGTTTTTTATTCTCAGATTTATAAGGTCGTCAAATATTTACAAGTAAATGTAACACCTTATCAAGGATTAAGGGAAATTTTGTTAGTTGTTAACTACATTTGAATTTGTTTAAGTTCAATATATGATTTTTTTAAGTTTAATACATATTGTGGAGTTTAAAATATTTAGGTTTTATGCTAGACTACGAGAATGTACCACTTAATCACCAAAATGTGTAATAATCCGCTGTATTTTCTTGTATATAAGTTAGAGTAGAGAGCTACCTGCTTATGCTGCCTTGTGGAACTTCAATGCTAACTATAGTAGTCAGAATAAGTAGAGTTGACTGGGATTATTCTGGCTTTCTTAAAAATGTCAGGGGAAGGCTTGGAGCTCTAGTGATTGATAATTCTAATAATAATTTTAAGGCTGGTTGTGGCGCTTATACAATCTTGTTCAGATTGTTTCTGGTGGCTGAGGTGGGCGAGGCTGTGGCTGGGACCATCGCCCTGCGAGAGACTGTAGACCCGGACACCGCTAAGCTGTGGAGGATGTTCGTCCACCCACGATTCAGGAGGAGGAGCATCGCCTCAAGGTCTGCCGTAAGGCTACAGAATGTTGTTGTAAAGATTGATTGATTGATAAAGATTAAGCCACCCAAAAGGTAGTACGGGAATGAATAGCCCGTAAGTGGTGGCCCTTTTGAGCCATTACCAGTATCAATAGATGATACTGGAGATCTGTGGAGGTGCGACTGCACCCTGCGTGACGGGAGATGTCTCCCGTGTGTTGTAAAGCCGCATGGTACACCCTAATACACCCGGTGTCTGTTCCCAGATACACTAAGTGTTAGTTACTAGATACCTGTTGGTTGTTCTCGCACACATCCGTTGGTAATAAGTTTCAAGACACATTGCTTTATAGAATAATTTATAGTTAAGTTTCTTATTTAGTATTGCATCACTAATTATTGAACATTGGAAAACTGAGAATTGCCTCAAAAGATAATAATCACACAAACTCATCTGATTGTTTTTAATCAGAGGCAGAAATTTAACCAAATTATTTACGTACATATGAGCGTGGTACACATCATCACCATTTTCTTGGAGGATTTAGAATTGAACTTGACATTGTAGCCAACAATGGCGATTAAGTAATACAAGGACTGTGTTGGTCAGGTTGATAAGTGCGTGTAACAAGGAGGCGAGGCTGCTGGGGTACCGGGCGGTGGAGCTGCGGACTCACCTCACCAACCAGGCCGCCCTCAGGTGCTACCACAAGGCCGGCTACATCACCCTTCGTCAGGAGAACTTCGCGCGCCTCTATCCTTATACCTTTGACACTGTTCACTGCATCTGGAGGAACGCAGATTAAGATTATTTGATATCAAAGTAAAGGAAGCCACATTCTACAAGTGCAAGAAGCAGGTAACTTTTTTCCGGCATGAAAGTTTTAATATAAAAGTCAACATAATATCAATTGGTGGTTTTGAATACTAAATAAGATGTATTGAATTTGACATTTTTTACCTGAAGTAAATAAATATATCTTAACTGTATTAGCTAAATGATAATTCAGCAACAGGCCAAACACGACCGTGTTATAAGTGTACAAGAATAGTTATAAGTTTCACCATGCGAGAAAAAGACATTATTAATAAGTTATGAAACAATGTGCAGTTTTCTTTATTAGCCCCAAGAAGAAGATTCAGCCATAAGAATCATGTGTGTGTATATAAAAGTTGTATATAAATGTATATGTATGTATATAAAAGTTTCAATGAGATCTGCATAAAATGCAGATGCAATGCAGAAAAATAAAAAATAAATATGTGATCCGGTCACGCGCAGGTATCCACTAGGATAAAAAAACGAACGTTCCGAACGTTTTCGTGTCTCACAACATTGTCAGGGAAATACAGGCCTTGATAATGCGGTCGAAGGACACCTCTCTCTCATCTTTTATTACGTTATATATCAACAAAACGAGTAAAAACCTTGACATTATATCACTAAAACATCAACAACTCCGTAAAGGGGCCAGTACTACCCGCGTGGACTTAATGACCAACATGACGGTCATTTATTGGCTACATCAACACTGGCTTTGATCGCTAAATATTTTCTGGTTCAAGACAGGGTTGAGCACGAACACAACCTTATTATTAAGTTGAGGAAATTTCCATTTGTAATTTTTAAATAAACGTAACAATACTAAAGTGGTGCATCTTAAGAGCTTTCGTAATTAGAATTTGCAAGAGCTTGCAAGAATTAGCAAGCCCCCACTTTAAATCCACCTCCTCTCACAAGTGTTCCTATCCAGTCTTTTAAACCCCATTCCCCCCAAAAAGAGTACTTAAATATTCACTTTATCCCTCCTAAAACAAAATTTACTTGCTTGTACCATTGTTGCGGGGGTCTGACCTGTCGCGATAGTGTCAGAACCTTGTTTATATCCACTTTCTTAATGGCCCTAACCACACTCGAAACCAAAATTATATTCCCCTCGTTGCCTTGTACGTATATGAACACATGTTGACTGTTGATGTTACGACATATATAAACACCTATTGACTAGTGACGTCACGACATACATGAACACATGTTGACTACTGGTGCCACATATGAACACATATTGACTACTTATGTCACGACATATGTGAACAAGTGTTGACTATTGATATCACAGCATGTATGAACATCTGTTGACCATTGATGTCACAACATATTTGAACTCCTGTGTACTACTGATGTCACAATATATTTGCATTCTATCAGGAACAAATCTACAGACTTTGATACACAATTCCGCAATGCTACAGCTGATGATGGCATCAACTAGAGCCTACAGAGTTATAGGTCTCAGAGCATAGGCCTACAGCTTATCACGAACTTACCTTGAGATAGACAATCAGAGATGTTAGGTTTGGTGAACTATGGAGGTCAGTCATTGCTACCCCAGCGGTGAATCATCTTGTCGGGGAAACTGTCCTCCCACAGCCTTGTGGAGTGATTACTGGTGAGAGCCACCTGGACCCTATGCTAGCGTGATTCGGCAGCTCGTTACGGTGCGAATTGTCAGAGGAGTGCCAGAGGAGATATGCCTCTCACGTCTGCCACAATCTCACCTCTTCCTAGAGCGGTCTGCCACACCGCTTCCCATGGCAACCCGACCACAACTGCCTCTGTTGCCAGCTGTTTCCCCTGAGGCTGATGGTCATGACACCACCTGGCAACACGCTCGACCACTCCCAGGTTCCGAGAAGCGCTCACTGAGGGAATGCTTGTGAAAATCTTTAGAGCAAACGGGAATTTTCTCATAAGTATACGAGTTTATTGTGAGTTATTTGTTTATGTGCGAATGTTTCATGGTCCTCACAGCCCAACAGGGATGGTATCTAGGAAACATCAGTTACCACTACACCAGCAACAGGACCGAAAGGAGATAGAAGTTGCCAACTGTCGCATCCTGACGTTGAATGGTTCAACTGCATATAATGTTTACTACTGCTAAAGAAATTTTTCGAGCAAAATTTTAGAAATTCTGTGTTTAGTTTCACGTACAGGAAAGCCACCGTTCCTGAATCTAACAGTCTTGGAAAGCAATGGCGGCTTCCACACTACAGTTTGTACCAAGGGAACTAATATAGGAATGTTACTTAAGGTAGTCTGAAACACGATAACTGAGGTTCACCACTGAAGTCTTCTAGAACCTGAGAACAAATTAATATAATTAGTGCTTCACACTACGAGCTTACTCATATGCAGGTTTTAATTATTAGCGTGGCTCAACAAATTTCCAGTGATCCAGAGTTTCTCAGCGCGTGTTGCATATTTCGTGGTCATTAGCGGAGAAGTATATGGTCATGACAGCATTGTAGGATTTGCGGAGAGCGGGAGCAAGGCGCGCCCAACGTCAGTGATCTGTGAGAGTAGCTTGGAGCCACACTGTTCGCCGGCGCCCAGGCACACCACCCTACACATCCGCCCCTCTACCAGCACCAGCCACTACCACCATACCTGGTGACTAGTTCTGCAGTCACCAAAAACCAACAATTCTTGAGAGTAGTTCCAGTTATACTGGTGCAAAGAAGTTAATCGAAGATATGGCAGGTAATACTAAACATATTTTAATCTAATAATTTATCAAGTTTATAAGAGGATAAGAATGTTCTCGCGAGGTGAAGCATGATACAAGCATAATGGTATATTCAACAAGCCTATAACATAACCAGGGCTTCCTGAATCTAACAGTCTTGGAAAGCAATGGTGGCTTCCACACTACAGTTTGTACCAATATATTTATATCCAATCTGGAATATAAATTGTCCACCAAGCACCCCAGTTCAAAATAATTTCATTTCATTTACCTGTTGGTCACTATAGTTTTTGGCCATGGCGAGTATTGGGAGGCTGTAAAGTGTTGTCCCATTCTCCCTGGTTAGTTTTTTCCATATGTAGGCCTATTCACAGCTGTAGCAATGTCCTGGATCTAGATTCACGAAGCAGTTACGCACGTACTTACGAACCTGGTACATCTTTCCTCAATCTTTGACGGCTTTGTTTACATTTATTAAACAGTTTACATGCATGAAAACTTGTCAATCAACTGTTGTTATTGTTATAAACAGCCTCCTGGTGCTTCGAAGCTCATTCACTGTTTAATAATTGTAAACAAAGCCGTCAGAGATTGAGAAAAGATGTACAGGTTCGTAAGTGCTTGCGTAACTGCTTCGTGAATCTAGCCCCTGGTTTTTACACATTCATTAGAATAGGTTATTCCACACGTATAAGACGGGTTGCCTTTGTTATGCCCAAGCTTTCCTCCACCGTCCACAGGATGAGTATTGGACTAGTAATAACTAATTAAACTACAATGGTGTAGGCAAGCTTGCACTGTCTCTTGACCTCCAGGCAGGATAACACTCCCTCCTCAGCATCGCTCTCTCTTGACCTCCAGGCAGGATAACACTCCCTCCTCAGCATCGCTCTCTCTTGACCTCCAGGCAGGATAACACTCCCTCCTCAGCATCGTGAGGCAGCCACCGAACAACACAAACTAAACTGATAGTTCACCGAACTATCAGGAGAAAGCGCCAAGCCATCACGACTATACAGCACTTGGAAGGGGTCAGGATAAGGATTTGGGATTTGGAAGGAATGGTGCCCAACCACTTGGACGGTCGGGGATTGAACGCCAACCTGTATGAAGCGAGACCGTCGCTCTATCGTCCAGCCAAACTGGTTGGGCTCGAACGACGCAGATGTACCAAACTTCACCATAACTAGCCTTGAAGAGCGCCGCTGTCTTGCCAAAACCTGAATGGGGTGACGCACACTAAGGGGTAATCAGGCTAGCAAAGGAAATTTTGAGGCCCACCGTATTACACCGGCGAACTACGTTGGTAAAGGGCTCCATGGCCAACACTGTCAGCCCTTGCCCCGTCCAGCGTCGACTCTCTTTGCCTGCCATGCACCCGGCCCACACCCATTCAGTGGGAGACGGTGGAAGGTCTATAATCTACCACTAATCTAGCACTACCCACAGGCCACAGTATGCACATGATTACTTGGGATATTTAACTAAGATTTCTGGGTAATTGAAAACTAAAAAGACAACAACTTTGGATAACACACTAAGACATAATCCTAGCTTATGCTAAAAAATATAAGTAAGGGTAATTGTGGTATAGTTCCCAGAGAGGTGCAATGTTAGATGACAATGTAGTCATCAAGATGGCTGGCGGAACATTATATAACAAACATATTCTGCACTGAATGTTTTAAAACATTTAAAGTGCGGTTACTCTTGTACAGAGCTAATAAGCGTAGTACAGAATTCCACCATTACTTTCTATTACTTATAAACATTTAAAGTGGCAAATGAGTAAGTGCGTAAAGAAAGAACAGAAAGACGAAACACAAGACAAAACTACAGAACACATTTCTTATCTTTACAGATGTGAAAGAGAAGTCTGCGGCCGCCAAGAAGAGCGTGGACGGTTGTGTTGGGTGGTGGACGAGGCTAAGAGGATACCTCACTTTCAACAGGGAGCTGGTGGCCATTAAGATCATCCTCTTTCTCTTCTACTGCGGTAAGAGTCCAGTGTACTGGTACAAGCAGGACCTCGCCACTAGGCTGTATAAACCCGCTCCGCTCAGTAATTGGTCTTGTAACAACCGCAAACGAGGACATTTAGTTTGGTGTTGGTGTTAAGGCTTTTCAACCAGTTTAAGGCTGTGACAATAACTTATTGACCTACAGAGAGTATACTTTTGGTCTTGAACTTAGTCTAGTCATAAACAAAACCTCAGTGTGTATATATACACCAAGAAGATGAAATACACCTGAGTATACAATCTCTTGGTGATGAGTACATTTTAAAATCCATATATTAAGCTAAAATTCTCTTGCAAAAGTCTTAGTGCCGAAAGTGCCTCAGTCACCCTACCTCACGTTTTCTATGCCCTCACAAACTTATATATATTCCTTCCTGTCATAAATTTGCAATCGAAATCAAACGAGAAAATTTATTTATTCATCTGTCTTATTTTCTAACATAGTTGGTAGGTTATTACTTTTCTTATTGAAATAAATATTCAATATATATGCACTTTACTTTCTGTTTCACTACAGTGCTAATACTTAATGTTGTCCTCAATCTTCACCATGTTTTGTCTAGAGTGGGAAGGTAGCCCTTTTTTATCCTCTCAGGGCCGAAGTTATCCTCCTGTTCCACCCACAAGTCTCAGGTTATCCTCGTGTTCCACCCACTAGTCTCAGGTTATCCTCCTGTTCCACCCACAAGTCTCAGGTTATCCTCCTGTTCCACCCACAAGTCTCAGGTTATCCTCCTGTTCCACCCACAAGTCTCAGGTTATCCTCCTGTTCCACCCACAAGTCTCAGGTTATCCTCTTGTTCCACCCACAGGTCAGAGTGCCTACCTGCCCTACTTGACCCTCCACATGCAGGTTCTGGGTCTGACTGTAAAGGAGATCGCCATTGTCTACAGCTTCCTGCCTATTGCCTCTCTCCTGGGTCCTCTAACCTCAGGTATGTACACACACACACACACACACACACACACACACACACACACACACACACACACACACACACACACACACACACACACACACACACACACACACACACACACACACGGAATGCATTAGGCAGTGACGTGGTGAAGGCTGACTCCATACACAGTTTCAAATATAGATATGATACCGTCCAATAGGCTCAGAACCTGTACACCAGTTGAGAGGCGGGACCAAAGAACCCAAGCTCAACCCCCACATGCACCATTAGGTGAGTACATGAGACCGAGTAGACAGCGCTTGGGGGGAGCGTAATCCTAAGAGCTCGGGTTCGATTCCCGGCCGAAGCAAAACCACTTTTATCCAATTTTGTGTAAATTCCCACATGTAGCTGGTAATTTGTCCAATCACCCTATTTTTTGCCCAGATTTTTATTTATTTATATATACAAGAGTTACATTCTTGTACAGCCACTAGTACGCGTAGCGTTTCGGGCAAGTCCTTAATCTTATGTTCCCTGGAATACGACCCCGCGAAGAATCGTTTAACAACCGTCCATTTTACTATTGGGCTACAGTTAAGGATTTGCGCCCACTAAATCCTCCCCGGCCAGGATACGAACCCAGGACAAAGCGCTCGCGGAACGCCAGGCGAGCATCTTAACCACTACAACTTGGGGGCTGCTACATTTGAACTGCAGCAATGTCTTGGTGTTTATGGTTTCGACGGGTAGGCGGTTCCGTGGGTTTATAACCCTATGGGTGGAAAAGCATGATTTCTGTCCTGCATTGTGGCTTGATCATGAAGCCGCTGCTCCTTGTATATGTTATATTTGACCTTTTAAAGAAGTGGTCAGGGTCAATATCCTCCAAACTGTTCAGTATTTTAAAAGTGTCAACGAGATCAGCCCTACCAAGTCTGCAGTGTTGTTAGTTCTGTGACTCTCAACCGTTCCTGGTATGAGTCGACTTAGTTCGCGGGTGATTTTTGTAGACTTGAGTTGAACTTTATCCAAAGGAGATATGTCCATCTGAAGATGAAGTCTCCACGCTTGGATACATGTAAGTAATAATTATAAATAAGAAGCAATAAGATGCTTATCTTAACATACTAAGAAGGTTAGGCGAGGTCGGCGTTTTCTATGAAGCTTTTCAAGGTAAACTAAAATATTCACAATCAATTAGTATGCCACATATGCACTTATTAAATAAGCCAATATTGACAGAAAGCAAGTGCGAGAACGGGTTCAACATGAGTCCAAATAGGGGCACACCAGAGAACTGTACAGTTGAATAACTACCTTCTTTTCCATGAAGTCAAAGGTTTATTTGACTATTCATAAGCCTTAGTTAGCATTTTTTTATTGCAGGTCATTTTTCTTGTTCAACTTTCAATGATTGGCGAATTCTGACGCGAAATTCATTTTTTTACATCAATCTTCAGTAAGGTAATGTTGTTGATTTGGTACATCAACTGGAAGTGCATTGTATATTACGGTACTATACTTTTCCTGTCATTGACAGGAAAGGCAATGGCAATGTCAGTAACATAACAATTATGTGTATTATCGTATCCTAGATGCAGAATCTTGCATTTTCGAAACTGAATAGTATTTTCCAGTCATATAACCATTTGTGAAGCCACAAGCCATTTTGCATGGAAGTAACGCGTTCTGTGCTTTCCAACTTCATGTGAATCTTAGTGGACTTAGTGTTTATTTTGAAATGTGTCCAGATGGTCCTCACTAGAGGTGCCTTTCTTCCTCTCCATCACAGGCCTCGCTGCGGACGCTTTGGGGAAGTACAAGTCTGTGATGGTGGTGAACACGGTGTTGACAATAGTGTTACACGTGTCTCTCCTGTACGTCCCGGCCCGCCCGGTCCCCAACCTGGCTCTCACCTGCGGCCCCGACCACCACACATTGACCTGGGCCGCCTGCGATCTCTGCCACCAGGACCGCAACCACACCCAGCTGGAACTGACACTCAAGGTCAGGTGTCATGGACACTCGCCTCCTCATACTACCATAATCTATTATTACCATTTCCTTCTTAATCTTCTGTTGTTACTAATCCTCCTTCTGTTGACACTGTTACTCATGCTGATACTACTACTGTTGGTAGTGTTGGTGCTCCTTGTCACAAGACCTCTGTATGCTGCCTAATTTCAGGTTTATTCAATGTAATCTGGCCAGTCTGTACAAAATATACATTAGTCAGTTGAATGTTCTTATTACATGTGAATGCTTTTATGTGAGTCACTGTATTCAAGTTGTGAAACAGTGTCTGGCAGATAATTGCCTCCCTTTAGGACAAAGTTCAGCGGACACGTCAGATACATTATATGGATTAAATCAAATTTCCTGTCCGGAGAGGCTATTGAAATACTTGCCAATCAAGGCACACCATCTACGTGCCTCAACCAATAAAGCCATCACAGTGGGTGGTATCAGAGCCCTGACACTGTTCCCGCCATTCCAATGTCTACCGGTGACAGTGTTTGACGTCACCGGTTATGGTCGACACTGACCACTTATTTGGTAAAAATGTGTATTTGTTGCAGATCTGGAGTCCATTTGTGGAAGCGTCCAGGTGCTGTGAGTGTCAGTTAAGCTCTTAACTTAACGAGATAATGAGTGGGTCCGAGAAACATGGAGTACGGACACACACAGCTGCGCTATATATCTAGAAAGCCTTGATTGAGTGGACGACAGTATGCTTACCTCGATATGGGAGTAAACGATAGGAAAAACACATTATTATTAACATCTTTATTGACAAAATTAATTACAATTTTGCCTAATCTGAGGATTTTGATAGTCTTATTAAAGTAAGGATAATGCTGGTATTCACTGTCACGCAGGACAGAGGGTCATACATAAGACAACAAGTCTAAACTGTAGGCTGAAGTATATATATATCATGGTTACAATCAATGTTTTAATGTATGGATATGTGAAAACACAGACGTCAACACCAGGTGACGCAGCGGATGGGTTGCTGATTCTGTTAATGGAGGTGACGGCACTGTCAGATGATAACGTATCACACTCTATCAGGAACATCTTCATTAGTATTTGAGAGGCTAATCATGTTATATTTAGTTGCAGATTAGAGGACATTTGGTGAATTATCGTTGGCCAAGCAAACGACAAACATATTACCAGTTATTGCTTGGGAAACGTGCAATATATACTCAAAGAGCTTGTGAACAAATAGCCTAAGCTACTCTATCCCTTTGAGATGTATTTATTGCTTATCTCAATAAACATACTTGAACTTGAAAGAGCTTGTCCTCAGACCAAATCCATTATCGTGAGACACCACACTCCTCATCAAACTACCCGGATAGTTATCTAGGTATTTGTGATGGTCTGAAAGCATATTACAATTCCAGTAACGTCTACATATAAACTGGGAAGTAAGCATTTGTTCTAAACAGATTATTCTCAAGATATTACTTTATTGTATTATAAGTTGTTGGTTTAAAATATAAAGTGCAAGCTGAAAACGTTTTCGTTGAAGAGTTTGGTTTTCTGTCAACGGAATTCTCGAGTACAGTGATATAGTTTTCGAATTCCATATTTCACATTATCACCAATTATATGCAAGCGATGAGTCACAATAACGTGGCTGAAGTATGATGACCAGACCACACACTAGAAATTGAAGAGACGACGACGTTTCGGTCCGTATCACAATCGACTTGAGAATGGTCCAGGACGGACCGAAACGTCGTCGTCTCTTCAATTTCTAGTGTGTGGTCTGGTCATCACCAATTATACACTGAATTAACATAACCAAACGTAATGAAACCTAACCTAACTTAATCAAATCTTAACCTAACCTAATCAGATCTTAACCTAATCAAATCTTAACCTAACCTAATCAGATCTTAACCTAATCAAATCTTAACCTAACCTAATCAAATCTTAACCTCAAGTAACCTTAGCCTAAACTAACCATGGATGGAGTAGACAATAGCACTAATTATGTAGTTATTCTCAATCCATTCCCGTGAGCGTATTTCCTCCCTGAGGACAGGTTGACTGTACATATCACAGCAACGGCGCATAATGTGTCCATGCTTAAGTCCAAATTAATTTATTAAACAAAGCTCTGAGCCAGGTATAAGACAATTCTGGGCCAAGTTACAGAGATGTTTTACGGAACAAACTTATAATTCGGGTAACAAATTTACGAATCAAGAGAGAAAAAAACACTAGGAGCCAGGTAGCAAACCAGTGAAAAATGTGAATCTAGTAGAGCAACACTGAGTCACATTACTGACACCTGATGTCGTGATACAGGACTGCAGGTTCCACTGTGAGGCGCCCCCGCCGGAGGAGGAGGAGGAGGAGGAGCTGCAGGTGTGTCTGGGCGTCGACCACCTCACCCACTGCCTCCCCCTCAACACCACTAACCAGGTAAGCAACACACACACGCACGAGTACTGTCGTAGCCTGTGTACTAGTACTATCCTGACCACCAGGTGTACTGGGGGTATACTTATTAGGTGGTCGTGTTTATCTGGAAGTACATCTGGTGTTTGACTGGGGTGACATCTGGTGTTCAACTGGGAGAACGTCTGGTGTTTGACAACTTCCCACAGCTACATTGCTGATCAATGTAGCTGTGGGAAGCTACATTCTGGCCTGGAATACCTTGTAGCATTCAATCAAGGCTATAAAAAGTTAACTGACAAGGCTCAAGTTGCATAGAATGTTCAGACAATTACGTCACGTCGTACGAAATAAATAAATTGTCAATTTAAGTAGAATAATGAATTCTATACTAAAAAAATACTATGTCCAAAGAAGATATAAAAATGGCCCTCTACCTACAATAGATGCAGCTGAACGGGACGGTATTATCGTGGCGCGAGGACGATAGATGCAGCCACAGATGGTACGACCTAGTCTATGAGGGCCAGGTGTTCCATACCCTCACCTGCCCGTCTCGGTGCCAAGTGGAGTGCCAGGTGGAGGGACTTCTCTCCTGTGGCCATCCCGACGACCCCACCAATAACCCCCACACCTTCTGGATCTACTTCTGGTTGAGAATGGCTGCTATGTTCTTCATGGCGTCAGCCTTCTCCATGTCTGTAAGTACTCTCATTTGACTTTCTCGAGCGATTAGTATTGTAATAATACCTTTGACACACTGCACTGGTGTGTCAAAGGCCAGTGGTGCCGAACATAGGTACTGCACATACTCACAACAATTAACTAAATTAAGTAAGATGATTGCATCAATCAAGGATCAGACTATCAATTGGGAATAATAGTTCGAAAGTAATAGGCATACATTTAAAAAGTAATATTCAAAATCTAAATGTTCACAAAGCATGAGCGTAAATCTATATGTATAACACAAAATGTCTGTCAGTTTGTTCAAAGTTGGAGGCCAGACACTTGGGCCAACCTTTCAGGGGTAACTGGTGGGTGCTAGGCGCAATTAGGGCCCGCGCAGGAATATCCCTGCAAAAAAAAAAAAAAAAAAAAAAGACTCTCACAGGCGGGTCGGGGTCAGTCCCGTTGCACCCTCCTTTAAGAAGGCCGGCTCCCATGGCGACCCCCGTGAAGTCGGCGGAGATGAATGAAATGGTCGATCCCGAGTGCAGAGAGCTTTTCATCTGTTCATAATAAAATACATGTTCTGATGGCATATTTGCATTCTGAGGGCTCCCAACACTAGGGAGTATAATAACACTAGTACTGTATAATATTATACAGTACAACACTAGTACTGTATAATAAAAACAGTGAACATAAAAAACTATAAATTTCTAGCCATCGAATCAAATGCCTGTGAAACAGCATCTTCACAAAGTACCAAGAGAAAATGAAGACTCTCCTAACACCAAAGCTCTACAAAATTACATTGTATGACTTTTCTGAGAGAGGCACTCGACCAGCAGGTGCCACACAATCAAGGGGGGTCAAACAGCCTTCGGAATTAGGTGGGTATTGCTTTATGCAGAAATACTATTTGCTGACGATACTACCTGCATTTTGTTCAAACCCCCAACCCACACACTTTAAATAACATTGTAAATAACGAAGTAAAAAAAATCCACTTATGGATCAGTCCAACAAGCTCTCACTAAATATAGAAAAGACATACTACATTTTATTTTAAAGTAAATCATCAAACCAGATACACCTTCGAATAGACAGTGTCATCATTAACAACTCCTGTGATGACTCTTGTGTCATCACGACTTCTGTGGATTTTCTCATTAACAGTAAATATGACTGAAACTCATTATACAATACATAGCCCAAAAAGTCTCTAAAACTGTAGTATACTCTCAATAATCAAATATTATGTTCCCCGCTCTGTTTTTCTTACACTATACTACTTGCTAATCTATCCCTATATAACATACGGTGTCTGTGGCTGGCTTTCAACTACTACAAGCTATCTCAAGCCCATCATCACCCAGCAAAATTCTTCTCAGAACTGTAACAAATTCTATCTTCAGACAACAGCCCCTAATCGTGCCAAACTCACATACACTCTATACATTCTCTTGTGCAATATATACTTGCAAACCCTTATTCTTAAATTTTAATCCTGATTTTAAACTCTTCCTAGATAGATGTAATTGAACCCATGAACATCACACCAGAAATAAGGATGAAACTTCATCAGTATAATTTATTCTACCACTTTATAATGTAGTTATTATGTTGAATTCCAATGCTGTTACACTGTACCTATTATTCTTGTATATAAATAAATACATAAATAAATAAAATAAACAATAATGATGTGCCGGATCACTAGGATGCGACGACGCTGGCCCTCCTGGAGCAGCATGGAGGTGATCTGGGCGTGCAGCGCCTCTACGGCGTTGTGGGCTTGTCTCTGGGACCGCTCTTCTCTGGCATCCTCATCGACAAATTCAGCCCAGACCCTGGTCAGTCTCGTCCATTACATATGCATAGTGTGATAAATATGATGACCTGACCTCCACAAGTTTGGCGAGCATCAAAATCCTTATTAGAGACTCCTTGTATCCCGCACTGACCTCCATCTTGGATACCTCCCTCAGGATCGCCGGACTACTCTCCAGGGTTCTACATTGGGGGGATCCTCGTTCTTCTCTCCAACATTCTGGTTTCCAGACTCAACTTCACGGTCAGTGTCGTAACTCTTGTAGTACTGAAAGCGATATCTTGTAAGATGTCGTGGCGGGGATTTGTTTAGTGTTGCTAGAAATGGACGCTTGAAGGCTATTGTTGTTTGTTGCTGGGAAGTTGATGTGCTGTATATGTTGTTCATGATTACTTGTAATAGTTTTTGTGGGTGCGTTTTAGTGAATGCTGCCTTGTTGTTTGTTCTTTGTAGTAATTAACTAGAATACGTAATTAATAAGAATGTATTTAGCTATGGATATTACTTAGGCTGTTGTAAGAATTGTATATTATATATATATATGTCAAGTTTTCTGATTCAATACATATGACTAACCATCCCGTGGGACTGATATATTAGATGAACTCATAGCTAACTTTCCACATATACTCTGTAACCCTTCATATAGAATAGGGTAGCAGCACTTTGCTGTGTACCTAACCTTGTTAATATTAATACAAAAATGACTAATTCTACAACTGCTGGTATTGTAGAGAAAACTAGCCATTGGAAAATGAAATTTAGCCGATTTTCTGAGTATTATCACTGGTACTTCCACAGCTACGACGTTCATACAAATAATTCTTGTACGCCTTACACTATATCAGCTACTGCTGGTGTTGCAACTGTTTCAAACATTAAAAGTAATATAACAGATATTGACACTACACCCTCTGCAACTACCACCACCTCTCGTGCCTCCTGCAGGTAAAGACTGCGGGAGAGAACGTGATGAAGAACCTATTCAAGCTTCTTTGCCGGATTGAGATCGACGTCTTCCTCCTGATGGTCCTGGCTCAAGGGGCCAGCTGGGGCTTTATCGAGAGCTTCCTGTTCGTCTTTCTCAAAGAGCTGGGCGCCCCCACATATCTCTTAGGTAAGTGGCTGGGGAAGTCCCTTGGTAACGTGGGTTGATAATTGGTGGATGGATTGACATTAGGTCTTTCCACTTATAACAGACAGGTAAATATTAGATGAATTGTTTACCAGGTGAATAATTACAAAGTTTCCCCAAGTTTGTAAAAGTATATTTCTGACTATAAGTGACTATTGGTTGGGTCCTACTCAGTTTTCACAAGCGTATGGTGGTTAATTAGATTTACCTCAACATATCAGTAATTTACATTGTGCAGTCACAGATACTTCACAAGACCATAAACGAATTTATTTTTTTTCAAGTAATTCGTCCCTACAAGAGTTCTTCGTGGGACTTTCATAGAAACAATACAAGTTTACTTAATTAGAAAAATGATAACCTAACGAATCGTAAAATAACCTAGCCTGACCTAACCGAACCTAGCCTAACCGAACGAACCTAGCCTAACCGAACGAACCTAGCCTAACCAAACGAACCTAGCCTAACCGAACGAACCTAGCCTAACCGAACGAACCTCGCCTAACACAACCTAACGTAACGTAACCTAGCCTAATTTAACCTTGCTTAACCTAACCTGTTTTTGCGCCCATGGCCAGGTCTGACTATAACGGTGGGGAGCCTAGGGGGCGCTCCTCTTCTACTGGTCCTCGACCGCGTGATTGACAGGATGGGTCGCCCCATCGTCTTCATATTCTCATTCTTCACCTACGCCGTCAGACACTTCGGGTACTCCTTCATCAAGTACGTATCGCTGCCAGTTGGATATATTTTGTGAACTGTGCAATAGATTAATGTCTCAATATAATCCTCAATAAAAAATATAAGAATTAACAAATAATTTCACTCTTAATAGGCCTCAAGATGGTAATGATAAATCATCGGTTTCTTCATCTTGGAAGATAATGAAGATAAAGATAATTGAGTATAATGAAACTACAAGGACTTGTTGTGCGAGAACCGCAATGGTCAATTATTTCTATGTAACTCATTTTTTTTTTATTTACATACGAAAGCACGCTACATAAATACCGTAAAACAAATATAAAAAAGAAACAACAACAAAAGTACAAATTACAAATGAATAAAACAATAACCCCCCAAACCATACCCACACAAATACATGAAAACACATAAAAACAGAATTACAGTGCAACAGGTTCATACAAAAAGACAAATACACAAGGCAGCCCAAAACGGACACAAAAGCATCACACTTTACTAAAAATACAAATGAAAAATCAAAAAGTCTGAAGGGGTCACAAAAACAGCAATCGAAACATATCAATATGCCAAAGGCAAGGGACATACGCGAGAAGGCAATGCCTACACATATATATGCGGATAATCTGCATATTATTATTATTATTATACAATAACCCGTACATGGTCCTCCCGGTTTGGTGCATTCATTTTGTTAATTACATACTTACCCATCAGTTCTCCAGCAGTGGTTCACCTTGGTTCTCCCACAGAGATCCGTGGTTGTCGATGCCGTTCGAGCTTCTGGAGGTGGTGACGAATCAGTTGATGTGGCTGGCTGTGCTGACCTTCTGTCCCATCCTGGCGCCCAGAGGCCTCCTGGCGACCATGACGGGGATCACAGGTTCCATCCATTACTCCCTCGGTGGGTCCCATTAGCTGCCTCTCTCTTTTGTTTTCCTTTTACACAGGTGAGTACAGAAGACGGCTTCTGAGGTTGTACTCAGCACTATAATTTTTCACATATTTTAATCAATTTTTTTTATAGAATCTTTGGTAGTAGCTCGACTCAATTAATATTTCTTAAAAATCTCATTTGCAACCCGGCCTCAGTGATTCCGGGGCACAGCTCGACATCAACATTACATATTACAACATTACATTGGCGTACTAGTGGCTGTACAAGAATGTAGCAACTCTTGTATATATCTCAAAAAAAAAAAATATGCAAAATAAGGGCTTTATTTATTCATTTAATAACTTCCTGCTAACAACTAAACTAGTCAACTTGAGCTCTTCATAACCTACATATATATTTTTAAGTGTACGTAAAATGTCAATTTTTTTATTAGTTTCCTGACCTGTCTCATTTTTTTCAGTGGATCAGTCTTCTTGCTATTCTTTGTTTGACATGTGAAAGAACCTTTAAGTATCTTTGTCCTGCAATACGCAATTCATAATTTCTTTTAGTTTGTTAAGCGGTCTTGCTAATTCGATAAATTATTATTTTTTCTGTGATTCAGACACGCTATGGCGATAAAAGTTTATTAATAAATTTAATTATTAATAACTTTAAATTATTTTGTTTTATAAATATGAATGTATGATAAGGGTAATTAACATAGAGAAAAGTTTTAGCCTGGGTTAAATAGCTTGTGATAATTAACGTTGTAAGTTAACAATCGTTTGCATATCGCATTTTTTTCCCAATGAGGTATTTTAGTGCCATAAAAAGAGATAAAAATAAATCCAAAATATTTCTGCGAAGAAAATGCAGAATAGAGCCAGTGAAGAGTAGAGGTGCCACAAGTACACTCAGAGAACACTATGAACATCAGAAGTCCACGGTTGTTCAATATCCTTCAAGGAAGTCTAAGAAATATTGCCGGAAAAGTGGAGGTCTTCAAGAAGTGCCAGACCAACCGGGCTGTAGTGGATACGTGGGCCTACAGGTCGCTCCAATCAACAGCCTGTTTGACCAAGCTCTCACAAGTAGAGCCTGGCTTGGGGAGTAGAACTACCAGGACCTCATCCAGGTACAATCCAGATACAGAATAAAGCTAAACAAAAACATGGTCATTCCCGTACAGGTCGTGGAGTTGGGTCCCTGCTGGGCGGGTTCCTCATCAGTCAGTATGGCACAGTCAACACCTTCAGGATCTTCGGGGGCATCTCCCTCGGCTGCGGCGCCCTCTATGCTCTCGTCCACTTCACCTTCCTCAAGAACAAGATAGCAGAGAGGGGTGAGGCTTTTTTTATTTTTCAAATATTCACACAGGATATATATATTAGAGTTCAGTATTCAGGGAAAGAAACTTGCTAGGTACTACTAAGGTATGATGAGAATATGACACTAGTTCATGTACCCAGTTTGGACAGAGGAAGATGCATTAGGGGGTAATATTATTTTCTAAAGTAGGATATCTCAGACTAAACTATATGCAGTAATGCACGACTATCTGGCACAAATTTGTCACCAGTGCAAGATCAGTTGGCAAACCATTTGGTCTACTATATGACCAACCGGGCAATAGTGTATATGTGGGCCTGCGGGGCGCTCCAAACAACAGCCTATGCACCAAGCTTTCGCAAGTCAAGCCTGGTCCCGGGTAGTAGAACTCTCAGAATACATATATATTTAGGTAGATATAAATGCTTCTTCCATCTCCAATTATTAATCAGATTTTTTTCAGTTTCCTCCATCGATGTTATATCATGAATGATTCTTGACCTTACGTAATTTATTTGTTCTCCGTGGCATCAGTAACATGTAAGAGTAAATTTTATTAATATCAAATGTTTGATATATTAAGAAAAAAAAAGTTGTAAATGTTTAAAGTAACGTTTTGTTTGTGGCATCATATATGGTCTCTCAACTTCGTCAGAGAATGCAAGAGCATCAGCAATAACAATAAATTCAGGTAGCAGCATCAGTTGTTTACGTAAATAAGAAAATTTTAACTTTTTTTTTAACAGAGGCAAGTTATAAGGAGCAAAAAGAACTAGAGGAGGAGGAGGAAGCCATGTTAGATAAAGTCTACAACACCACGGTCAAGCCAATTTCAGACATCCATACCGAGGCAGATACCAGCTGCTAAGAACAATTACCACACCATTTGTTTATGAACTACACCCCCAACATGACTGGGAATTTCACGTCAATCCATTCGTGTGCGGTATATTCAATAGCACATATATATATGCGGCAAAGGCATATCTCCCCATTTTGGATGGGTATTTATGAAAAACAGACGAAAACGCAGCATGTTGACAAACAAGTTTATACCGAATTTTCTAATAATTTAGCGAAATTAACAAATTCTTTGCGGTTGTCATTCCAGAATCATGAATATTCTTACATGCAGACCCTACGATGGAAAAATTAAACGTGTGGGGGTAACGAGAAATAAGTGTAACTGGACAATTTGTGGGCCATCCCAATCATATTATCACTTCAATCCTTTTTAGTTAAAATCAGTTATGTTTAAGAAATCCACATTGGAGGCTATTAGAAGCACTACGATTTCCACGACTGCAATGTCCATAGCGTCTAAGTACTGGGTCATCAGTTTGGTGTTGGCAAATTATTCAGACACGCGTACAAGTTACAGATCTAGTTTGATCACAATTTTGTATTTCAAATAATTGAAGTCCTGTTTGCTCTTTTAATTTAATATTTTATACAGGGTTTTTTTTATTGTATACTTTAGATAAGTTTGTATTAAACACATACTTCCAGTGGTTTTTATTATATCAAGTAAAAATAAATATCCTTGAACCCATTCCTTTCTCGTGGTCTGCAACAGTTGTATCGACCAAATTTCACAGATACTTATATAATTGAATTACATTTAAAGAAAGGATTATGTAGAAGTTATTTCGTCCACGTATTTTCCAAGCTTCATTTATTACCAAATATGATGTTCATTTTTAATGTACATGGTTATTGTACCGTGGCCAAATCAGAGGGGAAACAGCCAGCAATTGTTCTAAAACCCATGCAAAGAATCTAGGTAAACCATCTGCAGCCGATACAAAATGGGATGAAAATTGCCCTTATACCAATAAATTTTAGGCTTAATATAAGCAACCTAAGAGGTTAGGTTGCTGCTTTTTTTCTTGAAACCACAAAATCAAGACAAAATATGAACGAGAGGGAGCAACAGCTTCCCTTTGTACATAAACTCCAGATTTGTTACATGTATAACACTAATTTTCGGGATATGTTAATACTGCATTTGAATTTTGCCAAAATTTTACTTTAAAGCATCTTGTTTTTAAAACCCACTAAACATTAGAAAATGTCTGCCTTAATTTATGGCCAAATACAGGTGGAAAAGTATTCAGATGCTGGATATTGAAAAATTGGCTAAACAAAATATATTTGATTTCCACTTGCCAGTTGCCAATTTACCATTCCGATACTAATGACTGACTTCTACTTCTGACTAAGATCTGAAGAGCAGATCGGTATTTTTCATCAATTATGATAAGTATTACAAATTAATTACATTTCACAAAAAATAAAATGCAAGTTCTTTCAAACATTATACAAAAGACAATCCATTTGTATTAAACACAAAAATAAATTAAAAGGTTTCAATAACATTTAAACATACAATTAAAGTTTATTACATGCATCAAGTGTAAGGGACAAGAAAATCCAACATACAAGGTCATAGTTTATTTAGAACCGAAGCTTCTGGAAAAGCCAGCGATTCTTGCCACTCTTGTATCTGAAAGGTAAGGCGAGAAAATTGATTAGCATTCTTGAACTGCATGAAAGATGGGAAAATGGAAAGGGTAGTAAAGATGGGGAATGGAGGCAGGGGGGGGGGATATTGGTGGTGTTGGCTCTGGTCCCTGGTAAGGGACTAGAGCCAGCACCTTCCTTTCCTTTCAATTCCCCTGTGCCTTCCATCAAAGGCACAGGGAATTGTTACTAGTATCCTCACCAAAGAAAACATCCAGGAATTAGGGAAAAGGACAGAGATAACTGCAAGGTTCAGATAAAGGAGCTGAAGTAGCAAACGACACTGCAATGATTCACTTAAGATTGAAATCCTAGATACGGCTGACCAACAGGTGGACCAAACAGCAGGAGGCAGAAAAAGAGAAGTCTCCTGTTTCCTGGCAAGCCAGGAAAGAACAAGAACCCTGGTTTGCCTACACATGGAATTGCTGGGAGCCCAAACTAGACATCGAGACTATGGCAACCTCTGGAGTAAGACTGATATAAAGTTCCCTGCCATATAACCCGAGCAAAAATCCAATTATTAAACAGTTATTGAGCTCCGAAGCACCAGGAGGCTGTTTATAACAACAACAGTTGATTGGGAAGTTTTCGTGTCTGTAAACTGTTTAATAAATGTAACCAAAGCCAATAACAAAGATTGAGGAAATATTTACACGTTCGTAAGTACTTGCGTAACTACTTTGTGAATCTGGCCCCTAGTAAGCCATAATGAACTCCCAAGGTTGATGTTGACATTGACAAGCTAGCATCAGGGAGCCACTGTTTGGCCATTACAGGGCCATCCATGGGCCTGTTTAAGGCATGCTCATAGGGTCGATCTTGTGTACCATCATTACTCTTTATAACTATTGCCTTCAATTTGACAAACAAATTGAAGGCTTTAACATCTTTAGCGTTCTCTTAACTCTACAAACTGTTCACTGTGTGGAAGCACAAGTGACATTCCAAGAACAAATGGCACATACTCAAGGGGACCCCCACAACAACTACAGGTCATTGCAACAATTATACCAATACTAAGATAATGTTCTAAAGAGGTAAGTAACAGCTAGATAGGTAAAGTAAGTAATTATCAAAAGAAGGCACCAAACCGGGAAGGCTATGTAGCACCATCAAATGCGCAGAATAATCAGAGGGCGCTAAATATCACCAAGGATGCCACTAGATAGGTAAAGAACCCTTTCTACATGATACAACTGCTTGTTGACTTGTGGAAGATATGGAGACAACATTTTTGTCTTAGTTATATCTACATCTTCCTGCACTGCTTGCTTAATTTTGAATGACATACCTCTTCACCCCATAAAGAGGTAGAACAATATTGAATTATAAAAATAATTACCCTACCACTTTTCCAAATTCTCAAACTCAGGGCAGTGTACAAAAAATGGCCTCTTAAATTTTTTTTTTACCAGAGCAGATACCTCTTGTTGTCTATATTAAGGAAAATATTAAAAATTTGCCTTTAATGTTACATATGGCAAAAGAAATTAAATACCCATTGCTTTAACAATAAACTAGCAATAATCCAAGAAATAAAACTAACCTTTCTTCCAACTTTTCCTTGACAATTCTGCGTGCCTTCCTCCTCCTGCCGGGGTCCTTGAGGGTCTCTTTGTTGATCTTTACTTTATCGAAGACAATGTCAGTAGCAGTATAACGTGTAGGCATCACATGTTTCAGGTTCACAATCTAAAGTTGCCAGCACAAAAGATCACATGTTAATACACATCCTTTGGAAAATTATTAAGATACTATATTAAGAAATACAATAAGCTTACTAAGTGACATAATAGATGTGAAGTATTTTGACAAGTCCCCAAAATACTATAACTATCTGTGGTGATGTTTAGGAGAGTGAGCATCTATCTGGGTTGTACCAGACTATGATATACCAGTACATCAAATTAAATACTGTACCTTGAATTACAGTACTTATAGTTTTCATTGTCGGCATGTTATCAGTGGGATAAAGTGAAAGTAGAGACTAATATAATATTTCATTCAATATTCAATACTCCAGGGGTATTGGTGACCACTATGCTATTTCGATGCAACATACCAGCTTAGTTGTTCGTTTTGGTGAACAAAACATGCAAATACTTATTTATAAAGTGTGTATATAGCATAATAACAGCAAAAATTGTTTTTTATTGTTTTTGAACATAATTGAATCATATTTGATTCACACAATCACTAATATGCCTACCATACTTTTAATTATAGTGATGGTTCACACATTTTATTATATAAATATATCACTACACACTATTGATAATATTACTGCAAAATACTAGAGAAAAAATCAGACACTGAAATAATTTAGGTAATAATATTGCTGTGGCAACTCCAGCCTGACAGCTCAGGTGGAGGAGTTCGCTCCGGCCGGCTACCCTGTCGGTGCCTGAAACTTGCCAAAGTTCCTCACCCTATTGCAGGCAAAATGTGTCACCTACGTTTTTTTTATTAGTTTTACCATAATCAGGGAAATTTTTATCAGACATTTTAACAATCTTAGAAAAAAAAGGGAGGTGTTGTCGGCTATAAATAACTGTGCCACCCAAGGGTTAAAGGGTTAAGATTTTAAGATGTTACCAAAGCAAGAGAATTTCACAATCAAGAAATTTTGGGTCACCGATACGCAGAATCTAGAGGAAGAGAGAAACGAGAACATCTTTCTTAACAGGAGGATGGCAGGAAATTAAATGAATACACATACCATTGTATACAGGTTTGCAGCAGAGAAAGAGAAGCCAGAGCTGTGAAAATGTGCATTTAGGAAAGAAAGAACCAATTTCCATTCAACTTTGATATTGATTGGAGTAGCCACTCTTTGGGAAGGAGATGAAAGGCTGGAAATACTAGTTATGGGGTAAAAAAGCAGAAATATCACCAATATAGCAAAGCCAAAGAGTAACTAATATCAATAGTGGGATCAAGAACAGCTAAGTATTCCACATACATTGACAAGAGGAAGAAAAAGATAATTCACAAACTCAAAACTAGTAGCTACCTAGTTATAATTAACACTTTCGCGGGATGAGGACGCACCCCGGAGTCCTGTTTCGCCTACCCGCTCCCGCATAGTAGACATAAACTTATGTCCTCTTTTAAAATATTTGTATAAAATTCAATTTTTATCCGATTTACTTTGGGTTTGTTTCAAACTGCGCGCCATGAGGCTCTCTTTCTCACCAATTGGCTGCATGGTACAATAAGTTCATGAAAGGTTCACAAACATAACAAAAGTAAAAACATTTCGTGTGTTTGATTCTCACCGATATGTTCAAGCGTTGTTTTATATTTGGCGCAATTCTATCTTACGCTTTGTTGATCTTTTTTACCTACGGGCTCATAGAACATTCTATTGCGAACACATTGACACAAAAATGAATGACGTACATAGAATAATAATGTCATGAGAATGAAATAAGTATAAACTTTCAAAGCGCCGTGCGTCGTCCCGTCACTGACACCGGGTAACAATTTCACCACTTCCCACACTCTTGCGGGCGGGCCGCAATCATTATTCTATGCTTATATTCATATCACCGTGTTGGGAATTTCATTGCGAGTCCATTGATACCAAAATTAACGCTGTAGGACAAGTGTGGAGGTGATAACAATCCCAAGAGTAAAAACATTTTGTTGCTGTTGGGCGCTCACGGCGAGTCATCTTCGTAGTTATTTATTTGGTGCTGGTATCCCTATACGTTTCGTGACTTTTTACTGGTGTTCTTCTAGAGAATTTTATTGCGAACACGTTGGTACCAAAATGAAATACGTAGCTCAAGAACTAAGGTCATGAGAGTAAAAAGAGTATACACATTTTTGTTTTTACGCTTACGCGGCAAAACGCCGGGAGCACTTACGGTTGTTTTTTTTACATTCGCCAAGAGCCGGAAAGTGTTAAAGAATAATAGGCCTCACAAGCTCATATCTAACGCATAAGCAAATTGTGTGTAATTATGGGTAAACCGACTTCACTGCACTAAGAAGTCCTATTTAAAGTTGGTGCTCAACACACAAGCTTTCAGTATACAGTGGAACCTCGGTTGACAACTGCCCTACAGTATGAATTTTTTGGTATACGACGGTTTACTTCGTATGGGTCGAACAAGCGAGTTGAGTTTGATTACAAGTCTATCCCACGTAGTGACGGCTGTGGCCAAGCTTGAATCCTTTGTGAAGAATTTCATTGTTTGCCTGCTTTTTTTTTTTTTTTACATAAAAGCTCTTATTATATATCACTCCATGGGTCCCAAGAAAGTCAGTGGTAAAGTTCAACCTAAGAAAACAATTGTGAGGATGACCATAGATGAAAAAACAAGATCATTCATAAACATGAACATTGTACGAGTGTTGTTGAACTAGCTAGGCAGTACAACAAATCCATGTCGACGATATACACCGTAATTGCTAAGAAAAAGGTCATTGTGAGCGCTAAAGTGGCAAAAGGCATAACAACAATCACGAAACAAAGGACACAAACACTTGAGGTTAAAGTTAATTAAAAGTTATTTATTAATTTGAATAAACAGCAAGCAGCTAGCAGGTGATAGCATTTGAGGAAATTTCTTCAGGGAGAGAAGGCAGTAGAGAATTTCCCTTCATCAACAATTAAGAAATGGTGTACAATATGGGAAGAAATGCTGAAAAGGCACACCTAAATCAAGCTGTAGCAGGGTGTTGTGTTAACCTTTTTAATGACAATGAGCCGTCTTACTTCAGACAAGCGTTACAACATAGTGAAAAATAGGTATCGCTAGACAGGTTTTTAGTGACAAAAACAAAGCAGAGCCACAAGCAGGTCCTAATGATATGCAGGCAAAACGTAGGAGAGAAAGTACCCCAGAAGTCATCACTACCTGATGTTATAATGGAAGAGGACTCCCCTTCTAAACTAACACCTCTCTACACTCAACCCGTCCTCGACTCAAGTCCATTACATTCAGCGGTCAACCCCACAGACACATTCATAAATTTTAACATGCTGTTCATTCAAAACGGGAATTTTCACAAGTATAAATTAATATTATAATATATTAGCATATTGTGTATATATAGGCATAGGATAGGTTAGGTTAGGTGTTTAGGTTCTGTTGGCAATTATTTGTATTTATAGTACGTGTGTGAAGCATTTATAGCGTGATGGTTCGAACAAAATTCGTCAGTGAAGCACTTGTTCCGGATATGTTCGAACGTCAGCAGTTGTGAGTCGTGTGTAAACCGCTTTTCATTCATAAACAGGGGGTTTGGCGGGTGCATGGAATCACTTTTGGATCTTTGTTTGGAGGACGGGCTGCTACACTACACTGCAGTACACAGTGAACAGTAGACTATTAATATGAAACAGAACTTGAGATTGACTAACCCTGACAAAAGGCTTAATTTTTGACCTTCTTGCAATCTTTTTCTTGCTCATGGTTTTCGTTACTTTGCGAGGGTAACATTCAATGCCAGCAACTAAGGCATGCTCGTAGGGTCGATCTTGTGTACCATCATCATTACTCTTTATAACAATTGCCTTTTTACCAGCTTGCTTTCCGGTAAGGAGGATGACCACACGGCCAGGTTTATACACCTTCACCATTGTGCTGAAAAAAGAAAAAAATACTGTAAATTAAACGACCTTAAATGTTTGTCAATCATTTATCATAATCTACTTGCTGTCTCAAAGAGAAAATTACTTTTAATAACTTACGAAAATGCCAATGGCATGAATTTAAAAGTTTACCTATAAAATTACTCCACAGTGCTCGAGGCAGTGTGTACTTATGGTGTGCGAAAATAAAGGAAGCTTGCAGGCGAAAGATTTTTAGACATATGCAATGGCTACATGGCATCACGGCAGGCATTGGGTCCATCTAATTACTCAGCGCAACCCAAAGCTTCCTAGTATTACATAAGTAATGAAGAAATATGATGTACTCACTCACTATAATGTTGGTGCCGAATGTAAAGCATGAAAAAACATTTTTACTCTTTCATTTCATAATGAAATTAGATGAAACTAAGTGGGAGGTGACGACCCAAGTGACAATGTTGTGAAGTGACTTATCCAAGATAAGTCTAAATGTTGCCTAAATGCAAGGCGAGATGAGGTTAGGTTAGGTACAGGAGAGGCTGATATGCCAGCCAACAATACATCTTAGATAATTTGATCCACAACATTGTTGCTGGGATTGTTGGCATCACCTGCTACCTAGTTTCATTTAATTTCACTATAAAATATTATTTCAGAGTAAAAATGTTTTTTCAAGTCCTATACTCAGCACCAATATTAATGAGTATATCATATTTCTTCATTACTTATGTAATGCTAGGAGGCTTTGGGTAATTAGATGGACTCCAGGAATTAGCTGTCTGGAGCAACCACAACATCAGAGCCAGTGACCTGGCTGTCATTGTCAGCAGTTTTGTGCTGCATTTTGCTCCATGGCCGTTGACTTTTTTGTGCTTATCAGTGGTTAATGTGGTATGACATTGCTCTTATAGCACATACCAAGGAACTATGCAAAAAAACCATTGCTTTAAAAGCAGGCCACCAATGTAAGCAAATAAGGGAATCATTGGGTATAGCCAAGTCGACATGAAGTATTTGTTTCCAAGAAAAACAGTTGTGAAGTGCCATCACAGAACGTCAGTCTGGTTGTCCCAGGAAGATTTTTTCATGGTCTACCCTTGCTGTAACATGATGGGTACTCTCCAATGAACATTTTAGAATGTTCAAAGACCTTTATCTTCCCGAGACAACCAGACCGATGTTTCTGTGGTGTCCTCAGTTTCCCCTTCTGAAACGTGCACAATACTTCCACATGAAAACTTGGCTACAACCAACAAATAACTTATTTCCTTAAAATACACATTTCATAGTGTCTTGTCAAGGTCTGTCCTCCTTGATGGGGTTCTAGTTGTTTGTCTACTCCCCAAGTCCGGCATGAGGCCAGACTTTAATTGTGAGAGCTTGGTCCAACAGGCTAATTTGGGATTAATCCTTTTTGGTTTTAAAGAAGTTGCCATTCTATAACACATTCCAATGATGTAACCTGAAACCACTTGCACATGTTTTTATAACATTATGGGATGATTGCCCATACTGAGAGCTGTATCAAGTAGGTGGAGCATGGCAAGCCATGTGGTGTGGGCCATACTCTCTAGCCCCTGGAAAATTAACCTTACCATCCAAACCTATTTATGTATTCAACAATTTATTTTATCCAGTTAATAATGCTTGGTGCTGCCACATATTGTATACAACCCTTATTATAGAATAGGGAAATTAGTAATAAAGCAACAACCATTATAAAAACTGTCTAGATACATCTTTCTGAAATTGAGTAAAATAAATGCTATACAGTACATATGCAAACCTCAAGAATCCTTACTCAACTTAAGGATAGTGGCCAATGACTAAAGCCAGACAAGCAAAATCTCGAGCATGTAAGGAAGGCAAATAGTCAATATATTTACTGGCAATCTTAAATTTCTATCCGAGGTTAACAATTCATTGGTGCATCATATTTTGGTGCCATTTTTAATTTTTTTGTAGGCTTATGGTGAGCCACATTACTTGAACGACGGTCCACACGCCACTGCACTCTGTACAAATAGGCTCAGTGCTATGCTATTAGAATAAAATATACCGTGAAGTAACAGTGGCTCGAATTCTGAGAAAATTCGTTTGCAGATATTAAGTGTCAACTTTATGAAACTTTTGATCTAATTAAATCTAACACAAAATCAACAGATGGGTCCTGAATCAAGTGTCCTAGGCAGCGAGACCGTTTGGGCACACATCTAATGCCTCTCTTCCCCTAGCACCATTTAAGACGAGTCGCATCCTTATAAGCTTCCTGTCCCAGAAAATAAGCTGGAAACCATAGCTGGTGTGTGTGTGTGTCTTTAGGGACACGAGCTACTTCCTACACTGCTAAACCTAACTTAATCCACAAATTATTTAAATGAATGTGAAAAGGGTATTGTTGTAGCGAGGCTGGACACAAAATACAGAAATTAAATAGTTTATCGAACCAATCTGGACGTAGCTTGTCTTTACCAAGTGCCCGTACATAGTGTAGGGACACGCCGTAATTGACTATCACTACATACCCATGAATTTAACTATCCTGCGGGAATATATTTTCCCCATGTACGACCCCCATTTCCTGACATGGCTAGAAACACCACCGCCACACATGCAGCCTTCAGCCACAGCTTGTAACCCAAATAACATCACCTCAGTTTGTTTACACCATGTCTGCGGCCTCAACATGGGCCACAGAAATTTATCCAATTTTTACTCAGTTATCCACCTGTGTCTCTCGGAATCACCCCGCCATCGCACGACTAAGCAATGCCCGATACCATACCACGACAATACAAGCGGTAGAGGCGGCGATTATGGCGATGGTGGACGATACAAAATGTAAATGTTGCCTTACACTACAGGTGGACTCACTGGGTGTTGACGAGAGGTCCTGGAGAGGCCGGGGACTGCCTGCCTCTGCTGGCTCGATGGTTCGCCTCGCCTCGCTCTCACAATAATTAATTCCTGTATGCAGAGTATTGTCAAGCTGATGCATTAAAACGCCTTCGTCAATTTAATTGTCTATTTAAATTGTAGACAATTTACCATAAAATATAGGTTTAGGAGAAGGAAGGATCAGCTGTGAGGAGGTAAACAATTCATTCGTCTTCCGTATTCACTATTCAGTCGTGAGTGTGGCTCATAGGAACAAGTTGTTTATATATGTATGTAGCTGCTTCAATTATTTTCCAGTTTTTGTCCAGAAAGGCAAGTTATTTTGACACTGTCACTCATCCTATGAGTGCACATACCACAGCATCATGTACTATGTCTCCCAATAGGAATAAAATCTGCTGGGTTCATCCTGCAAATTAGGACTCGTGACTCGTCTCATGTGATCAGACTATTAAACAAGGGGACAGCTTTGGTTTCTTGCTAGTGCAAAGAGTGGGAGTGTTTTTAAGGGCAGTTTCTACATCTGACTGTGTTTTCCTACCTTGAAATTTAAATTATAGGTTGTATCATCAGCAAATAGAATTTATCCTGCACATATATTTTAATGTCTCTTAGGTAAACACAGTCTAAAAGTGGCATTACAGGTTATGTCCTCTCATACTATAAATTTTTCCGTTCTTCTATTTAGCTGTCTCATTCATTCTGAATCTCTACTGGTATTGTATCAGAGACAAACACTGCTATTAAAGATTATCTCCCCTGAACACCACCTTTTCAAATACTGTATAGTGATTAAAGTTTTTGGCTGTAACAGCATTTTATCAACATATAAATTCATAGATTTTAAAGGCTTCATTAGCTTTATTCAAGCAGTCCATACGATTTAAATGTAAGGCAAATTGAGTCGATATATTTACTGGCAATCTCTCCTGGACTGCTGGACAAGCAATCTTTATAGTCAAAGTGGCTTGTCCAATTGTGCTGTTTGTACTATCGGTCTTCACACCAATTATTTTTGCCTGATATAAATTATAGTTGATGTTAGGTTGAGATATGAAAGTTCCCACACTAATGCACCACCTGATGCTTTCCGTCCCATCTCACTGACCAGTTGCAGGTGCAAAACCTTTGAGAGAATGGTGCTTAAGAGATTCAGCCCGTTGCTAAAATAGATACTCCTTGGAAGTTTTGGAATTTTGTTTTAATTCTTATTAGTATTAATGTATCACAACATGGGCTAAAGATATTTTTTCTAAATAAGCCTTGGTATCCAGGTATATCCTATGCAGTGTATTGGTATTTATTGATTTCAGTCCATGGTGTGTATCTCTGAATCCAGCTCTCTAAATGACTAGCCTGTATGATTTTGACATAGTATCAGGTACTGTATAAGTATTTTAGGCACATAAGTGAAAACTTCCATCTGGGAACCTTCATCTCTTCCATATGCCAGTTAGGAGTTTTGAAGTTCTTATATTGGTGGTGGTGGTGGTGGCATGAAGCCAGGAGTAGGTCAGTGGGTGATGTTGGGCAGTGGGCAGTCAAATCCCACCAGGGATTTGCCCTACTTTCACCAGCATGTGCTCATTATACTGCATTCCCTGAATTAATCTACTCCTTACTCCTAATCTACTCTACTCCTCAATATAAGCCTAACATGTATGAATACACTCTGGCTGCCTGTTCCCTGACACAATGAATTATTAATTATTATTATTATTATTATTATTATTATTATTATTATTAATTGTTTGATAACTATAGAAATAAAGAAATTAGTAGTGTACCACATCAAATTGTTTAAATGTGTGATCATAGAATGAGAGAGTTCTTATGAGGTACAAACCCTTCACCCCAAGCATGTAGTACCAAAAGACTAGTAATGCAGTTTGTAATAAGAATGATGTGATGACTATCGGAATGTGAAAGGAAAAAATATTATTATTTGTCTACTGTATGGATTTGTGAGCCATATGAGAGACCTGAAATAGGAGGAAGGTAGAAATAGCCTAAGCTTCTTTATCCTTTTGATATGTATTTTTTTATCTCAATAAATTTACTTGAATGGTATTAGAACATTTGGAGGAAAATATAAAACTTAATGGAGAAATGGTATTGATTCAGAGGAGGAAGAGTCATTTCTTGTGAACTAATAAACTTGTATTATATAGAAACCAATATCAGACAAGATAAAGATGGGTGAATTGCATTTTCCTAGACTGCCAGAAGGCTTTTGGCACAGTCCCTTACAAGAGATTGTTATTCAAGATGGTGACCACTGCTGGCATAACAATACAGATCCTAGACTGAATACAGAGTTTCCTGCTTAAAAGGAAGCAGTCAGTGTAAGAGAATCAGGATGAAAGGCCACAATAAATGGTACCCTACAGGGCTCTCTGTGCAGCCATACTAGCCAGAACCATAAGTCTAGATACTGTGTAATGAAAGAAACTTTATCTGGTAATAGCCTCAGAATATTGGAAGGGTATTCATATTTTATCACTCCAGGTAATGTGTTGTAAATACTGTATATAAAATAGTAAACAAAAGGGTACAATAAAAATTAGTGCTTAATAGTTGACAAAATACACAGTACAGTACGAGGAAGATGGAACATATAGGAAGCATAGCACTACTAATAACTACAAATAGGTTCAGTAATAATGTACAGTTAATATATATATATGATCCACAAAGTTTCTTGTATGGTATATTGTTAATTTTGTTTAAATTCTATTGAAGACATTCATATGCCACAGTTGTGAGGATTTCACCCTGTAATGTATTTGTCAAGCAGGTAAAGTACACATTAGCATATTATACCTCTCACCATACTGTGTTGTACTTGTTGATGTATTATCATGATAGTTGATACAAATAATATGTTTTCCTGTACTATGAGTCACATTGATAAGATTGGTATTGTAATCAGTATCACAAGTTTCTTTTATCTCAGATGATACTGTACAGTATTAGTACAATTTGTGTACACACTATGTTAAGGTTGCTTTATGCCAGTGAGCATGACTAAGCAGAAAATGCTGTCACTTAACAGATTCAACCCTTTAGTCAGTAGTCTTTGGTCCACCACTGGAGCGCCAGCAGTAGGTCTGTACTTTAGTGGATTTCAGCATATTGAAGCTATACAAATTTGTGTGAAGGAAATATTTTTGTTTACATGTGAATTTGTAGTGTATGCATATTTTGTATCTATAAAACTTGATACAGGATGTATAATGTTTTTGTGACAAGTTTAAAATGTTTACTGTTAAGCATGTGATGTTTTCTGTGCATGACTTGTTGAGTAAAAATGATGCATAATTATGCATATTACTCAATTTATGCCACAAGCTGGTGTAAATTTGTCAATGTTTTCTTGATCATTTTCCAGGCATTTTCCAGTTCAGTTAGTTTCCTTTTGAAATATTCAATAGGCTTTGTTCAACCTTTCTTTCTTTCTTTTGATAATTAACCTTTAATTTAGCAGGGGTGATGACGGAAAGAGAGGTTATGGTCACAGTGTTGTTTTTCGCTGGAGCTCGTGACCTTGCAGGTGTGGACCGCTCAGCCTTAACACTAACTGCAGTCACTACACCAGAACAGTTACTGGCTCAGGTAGTGCGTTCATTCGGAGAGATTGACAAGATCAAGGAAAGTGTAATTGTTTCTTTGAACCAGGAATACTGCGAACCAGGCCAGGATCTAGTGCTTGCCACAGGAGACGAAGTGGCCATCATTCCACCTATTAGTGGAGGTATGTTGTACAATTTGTTTTTAATATTGAATTATGCCAAATGTACAGTCAATTGCACATAATTCAATATACAGTACTACTGTATGCAGTATTTGTTTAATCTTTTAAATTTTTTTCCATTTATTTATTTTTTTTTTTTTTTGAAATTTAAATTGCTTTTTCAGTTCTGTATGAATTGAGTTGTTGGTATTCTGTGCTCTATTTACCAGAATCTGTTACATTTTGTCCTTAGGTTAGGCATTATGGACCACATAAAGTTAACCCTGGATATTCTGTCAGTGGAGCAAGTCACCACTCTTGTTACTGATCCTTCCTGTGGCGCCATCAGTCTTTTTGTTGGAACTACACGTGACACCTTCCAGGTAATGTGACCTTGGCAATTCCGTTTCCCGTTTTATGATTGTACTGTACAGTACCTTCATTTACATCATGTAAATATATTTCAGTATGTGGGTTGGGGCTTCATCTCCAGCCATCACCACATAATGGGTTTGGGGCATTGGTCTTTTATTTGGTTGTGAAGCTCATAATAACATTTGGGAAACAGTGGTGTTGTAGATAGTGCTCGGTCGATCGCCATTCAGTTTTAAGAGCAAGTATGACAAATTACTGGATAGTTCTGCTGTATAAATACATTAGTAGATACAGTAGGTATGAGGCACCACCAATCCACATGATCATTTCTGCACCACTATGCAACCACACTTTTCACTTTTGTAAACAGAGTGGTAGACAGTTGAAACAAGTTAGGTGAGAAGGTAGTGGAGGCCAAAACATCAGTAATTTCAAAGCATTATATGACAGAGTGCTGGGGAGACGGGACACCACAAACGTGGCTCTCATCCTGTAACTACACTTAGGTAATTACACACCACTACCACATCATCACACCAGGATAATACTACTCAATATATATACTACAACACTCCAATCATTGCAATCTCTATATATACATCCTTTAATGCCATCCTGCACCTTGCTCTTGCATTGCTATTAACTCCTAGGTAATAATTACAGTGTAATGAACACATTTCCATAGGGACTATGCTATAATGACCCCTTCTAGTGCTAATTCAGCTAACTCCCATTTCCTGGAATGTTTTTCCAGCATTAAATGTGAGGTACTGTGTATATATGCTGCACTCTTTACTCACAAAAAGAAAAATTGTACTTGAGGTATGACAGCTAGAAGTTACATTTTGATTGGTTAATCAAAATATAATACGTAGTTTTAATAATTTTGATCAGTTTATATACATACTGTACTTTATTTTCAGAGCTGATTTTGTATTGCTCGATACAGGGTGCCACAAGTATATACAGTTCAATAATTACTTACTTTACTTTACATAGTATAATAACTACCTTTACAGGGAAAAAATGTTGTGAGACTCGAGTACGAGTCATATCAAGAGATGGCAGAGAAAGAAATGTATAAACTCTGCAAAGAAGCTAGAGAAAAGTGGTCTTTGAAACACATAGCAATACACCACAGGCAAGTGCGGCATGTTGTATTATTTCAACATTCTAATTTGTCGAATTAACATTTAGCCATGTAGGTTTACAGAATTTTACTTTGAATTAAGGTTTACTATTTAGGGTTGCAAGAGTTCATAATAGTCAGCATGATGAAGCTTTTTGTAACAGTAAGTTTATATTATCAGAGTAGAGGAGGATGACACTTGTCTGCATTTATTATGAATTCTGTTAGTTTCTAATCTTTGTATAAAGATCTATTTATTTTTTGTAAGTATCTTGTGTGCAGTGTAGTATTAACGATCTGTATTTCTTAAATTACATAACTTTAAAAGTATTTAATCTCTACTAGCAAATTTGAGAAGGTAGTGAGGTGACACTCATATTAGTAATACGTTAGATATTGTTTTTTATTTCGTTTTAATTTTACTGTACGTTATCTTATTATTTTTAATAATACAATCATTGCTTCCAGGATTTTATTAATGAAGATAGGTATATCTTGATTAATGGGTTAAAGGACTACAATATGGATAAAATTATTCTTGATTGTTTGGTTGTTTACAGATTAGGCTTGGTACCTGTAACAGAATCCAGTGTTATTGTAGCCGTTAGTTCGAAACATCGGCGTGAATGTTTGGATGCGGTGTCCTTCCTAATAGATAGCCTTAAAGCCAATGTCCCCATTTGGAAGAAGGAAGTTTATAGTGATGGCAGTGGTGACTGGAAGAAAAACAAAGAGTGCACATGGGTAAAGAAAGAAGATATCCCAAATAAAAGCAGCAGTTTGAAGGAAACCGTCAATAACAACAAAAGCACGTAATGTTGGGTTTCGTTTGTTCTCAAATTTAGCAGCCTTGCTTTTCTGATGGTTATCAGTTAAAGAAACTATGTTGTCAAATGTTGTTTAGTAAATTTTGGCGGCATTTTGATTTCTCTTGTTTGTGTATTCTTTTAGACAATTATTCCTGTCGTATTTTTGTCATTGACTGCATGAACATTGGGTCCAAGTGTTAGCTTGGGTCCATGTTAATTACACTGCACTGTGATAAAAGTTAATGATTGACAGTACACTAAAATTCCTAATGAGGTTCACAATTCATGCATGAGAAACTTGCTCAATATGATCCACATTTTTTTCTCATTATTTTGCGTGCATAAAAGTGCCTAGATTTATAACCCTTTATAAGAATTAGTAGTTGTGTATGCAGTAGAGTACAGACTTTAGCCAGAGCTTCAGGGTTCTTTAACTTACATGAGACAAGCTGGTTTTTGAAAAATTTTAGTAAATTACCCAAATTAAGGTTATTAAAATGTGACATTTTCTGTAGTGACTATTGTTACTAGTCATCCATTTTAAACATTTGAATGTGTATATATATATCTGATAAATTGAATTGTTTAATTTGCCAAGAATAATCATCATAAACAAATACGGGGATCTAAATTTTGCACTCCTCTGTGGCTGATTAAGCAAAATTTAAAAATTAATAATATTTGTGAGGTGAACTTGCATTTATAATTCAAACACATAATGAAATGTAAACAGCAATTCAGCCATACTAATTTTGGAAGGCTGACATGCTCACAAGTTGAAGATATTAAATTGGATAAAATAATTAAAATAAATATAAAGGAAATTAAATTTATATAAAATTCAATTGAATTATATGCTTTGTCTTTTGAAGAAAACAAATATTATGGCATCTGAAATTATATACATCAGCTAGGATGCATCTTGTATGTTATTTTTAGCAAGAACCAGAGCTTCTCAGGTACAGTGACCTCTCAGATTGATTCATAGAGAATTTTACTTAACATGCATCCATTGTATCTGGTAGTTGTAGACACTTTTAATTTACCTAGGGGAATTTGGTAGTCTGTGATGCTTCATTGTACAGTTTCTATTTTGATACTCCCTAATATATAATTTTTTTAATCTAAATGTGTGTGCAGTGTTAAGTGCGCTCTACTATATTTGATGCTGTTTTCAGTAGCTTTATGTGGAATCATTAAGTTGAGAGTAGATTTGATTGGAGATAATGTTTAGCTTGTACGGGGACTCATTCAGTCCTCGTACGAGCAAAATGTTTCCTTTCATAAAGTATTCTCTCGGGATGGTGTTTCTCTACATTGTTATCCGCAATTTGTGCTCAACTCTGCCAGTTGTTGCTCTCTTAGCAATAACTTGATTAATTGGGTACACCTGTAAGTACTGTACTGTACTGTACTGCACTGCAGATTTTACGTAAAGTATACTGTAATTGGTAGATACTTGTAGTAATAGTCTGCACAAACAATTAACCTGACTCTTATTAAAATTTATTTGTGCTTGTAATGCAAATAAAAATTCAGAAGCTTTATTGAGGCAGCTATTTTTATATACTTAATAAGTAATATAAAAGCCATTATTATATCCGTACAATTAACACTTAAGGTAGAGTATAACTAAAACAGAGGAGTTATTTACATTGTATAGTATTTACAAAAACCTGTCTGGAATTATCTAAGAGCTCTGAAATTAAGAATATTTAGAATTTTTTTTTATTTCCTTGTAATGCTTTTAACTACTTTGGCCAAACAGAGATCATATTTACATTGTGCAATAATATTGGACTTCTTGTTACATTAGAAATTATAATTACCTTTATTTTCTATGTATTTCTGTAAATAATTAAAATTTTAATATTATTTTGTTAATGAAAAATTGTGAAATGTTTATTATTTTGTTTCTGAATATAATTTGAATCTCTTTGGTTGCACAATGGTTTGAGCGAATCTAAAGCTGACAGAAGACGAGTACAGTGTTGATAACATAATGTAGATGTGCCATTAAAGAATTTATATTATGTGCATAAATTATAATTTCTCCCATTTCTTACTTTCATTGGGCATGGAGGTAATTAAATGGGGAAATTAAATGGTGAACATAGTAAAAAGTGGATTATGGATATTGTATAATAATAAATTTAAAAGTATCACTCGGTCATTCGTTGTATTGTCCATAATATAATATTCATAATTCATTTTGTATCAGGGAACAGGCAGCCAGTTTATGCATACAGTACATACGAGGTTTATATATCGAGGGTCACCCCCCCCCCCTACCCCCCTGGGGTCGAGTTACTGATCCCTCCAATATGCAACTCCAAAACAAGCTGACTAACTCCTGGGTATCTGTTCACTGCTTGATGAACATGTGCATTAGGTGATAGGAAATGCACCCAACCAGTTCTGTCCCGCCTGGGATTTGCACTTGGAATTCTCGATTGTGAGTCGAGAAATAACCCGACTATATTACCGGGAGCCTTTATACCATCATGGCTACCATCATGGATAAATAATCACCACCACTACCACACCTCAGCTGTTACCCACAGCAACACCCATCCACTTCATAAGATTAGGTGCACAGTACTTATTGTTAATTGAAATACACAGGCACTGTACTGCCCAGTACATTAAAAAAAATCATTCATTCATTACAATCTGCTTTTACCCAGCTTTATCACTTACTGTATCATGTGCATTGCCCACACTCACTCCCTGCTTTCTCATGCTGTGTCTGCATACTTTCTTCCTCGCCTCACAGTTCTCGAATTAATTTGAATACACTTCTCTAATCTATCATTCATTCATTCATTCAACATGCTCAGCCCATCTACGAATGCTCTCCTCAATCTTGGGGTTTATTGATTCCTGCATTCCACATCTTTCCTATTTCCATACACTTCTCAAAATATCCATTTCTACTGCCGTCACTCATGATTCACATTCCTACCACACTAACATCTTACAATCATACTTGGGAGTTAATACTGTAATTATAAACCTTGGGGGGCGGGGGATTTATTATGGGTGGGACCTTTGACAAGCCACCGGCTTCCTGTCCTCATCGAGGCTGCTAGTGTGTTAGTGGCCCTCATAACGTAGTAGCTTAACATAGTAGTAATTAAAATGTATTGCCTAATTGTGAAGAATGATGCTAAAACTAAAAATGATAACTTGTAATCATTAATTAGAAGCTAAGCCAAATCTGGTATAGTTATGATGTTAGTGATAATTAAAAAAAAAAGTCTTGATTAAAAGATGAAATACAATACTGTATAATGAAGTAAGATGTAAAACCAAGTATGACATTGTGCAATCATAATGCTCATGGCTCTAGTTAAGAAACTTTTGATGTAAATAGTAACCTCAAATAATCTGATTACCTAGCATCATTATTATTTTTGTTAACTTACTTTTAGTATTATTAATCGTAGTTGACTAATCATTGACATGACTGTATTTTTGGAGCATGAATACTACCTATTTTTTTTGGTAAAATAATATTTATTAGAAGTATGATTGTAAATGTTAATTGTATTCATCTGTGATTGCCCTAAAATGAAGGTTTTGCATGACCAACATCACTTACGTTCTCCATTGGTAGTGTCCGTCCTTAAAAGCATTAAGCTCATTTAAGGAAACGCTCCAAAAGAGCCAAATATATGAAATATCTTTTAAGATTATAACATGCCGCTTTTAACTTGCAAGTAAAATCATAAAAAGTTTACACACAGAAATCACAATAGCATGATGCATCAAATGAACAAATCCACAAGGGCCATGACGAGGGTTCGAACCTGCGTGCGAGAGCATCCCAGATGCTGCCTCAATCGACTGCGCTACGACATGGTTAAAAGAATTGCAACCAGAAGTTCTACTGCCCTTACGAACAAGGGCCATGATGAACCCTCGTTACGGCCCTTGTGGATTTGTTCATCATAAGAGTATTAAGCATTTCATATAATAGCCAAGTCTTTGTATGTCTGGTGCATCTGTCACATAATTATGTAGTAATATACAAGTAGATTTTCAGTTGAGGCCGGCCTGAGTATGATCATATTGTGTGTGATCACTTTCATTAGAATAATCGTCACAATTTTTCATAACGTTTTGTAATAGAAGTACAGCATTTCGTTTTATTAGGTAGTCTTAATTATTTGAATATATTGGTCTTGTGAATTGTCTTACGATATTGACTTTATAGTTTTTGCAAGTTTGATCTTGTTAAAATTTTCATACAATCAACATTGTTGTACAGTACCGTACTTGAATGCTTAAATTAACTCAGTGAATTCTATATTAAAATTTTAAGGCTAGAAAATTAGCTAACATGTAATACTACTGTAATAATTAAAATAATTAATACTATACTGCTTATATTTATGAATTATTGACACTAATATCTGTCAACAAAAATTTAGATTTTCCATCTTAAACAAATTTTGGTTAATTTCTAAGAGAAATTAGTCAAATACAGTATTCTCAAATGTTGGTTAAGTTAAGCAAATCAGATATCACTTAGCAAGAACTGTTGCCCATTTAGTGTTGGTATAAAATGCTTAAACTAAGCTATACATAGGTTATGGAACCTGATTAATATCTCACTCACTGTAGACTAAATAAATCCATAAGGTCATAAGATTTGTTTAATTCCCTTGTACAGTCTCTGATTTATAATCATCATATGAAGTATCAATTCTATTAAAACGGTTTTGACTTTAAGAAATAATTTATAGCTTAATTAACATTATATTATCTTACACATTGTAAATTTGTTGTAAATTATACAAGGCACAAATCGTATGAAAATGAGGTAGCGCTGGAGTGAAATATTTATTGCAGGTTACAGGGGAAGCTGGTGTTTATGGTTTTCTGTATAATTTCTCTGTCAGCAGTTATATACAGTACGCACCAGCATTCCACTTGATAAACTGATTTCTGAGGAAGACGACTAGATACCTCCTCTTTCTCTCTCTCTCTTCTTTTTTTTTTATTAATATTGTGGATATGATTGAGTAGAAGCATAACTAGCATTGATAATTAGGAGTGAGGCATTATTTTCAACGGTCATATACTGGTTATTCTGTGCTAGGACTTTTAACTATTCTGAGGGCATGAGAATTGCCCACAAGTTGGGTTTATCGTGACTGTGGCCTCTTGCCAACGCTTGCCACAACTTATTACTCCATTCATAGACAAGCTCAAGATGGAATTGTTATTATACACATTCCATCAATTTTAGTCCCTTTCTCCAACTTCAACAAACAAGAAAAGAATCCTTGCTTGATTTTTTTCCACTTCATTATCACTGAGGGTTAGTCCTTTCATTCAATAAAGCAACAACATGCCAGCAGACAGGAAGATGTTACCAGAGCTGCTACCACTGTCAGCCAATATGAAAAGATGTGCTGTACAGATAACTTAACAATTTAAGGTGTGTGCTTATGAATCGTTCTTGTGAAAAGGAGTTATTACATTGTAGAGTATAGATTTGTATAGAGTTATGTTTGTTAGTTTACAGTACTGTATGAGTAAAAAGAGCCTGCCAAATCTGATGTATGCAAATAATGCTTTTAGAGATTTATTGATGTGTCAGAAATGCTGAAAGTGTAAGTGCATACAGTTATGATGGGTGCAGAGGTAATGGAAATGTGTGAAATCAGTGTTCTATCAGTCCAATGATTGATTGTTCTTGTAGTCAGCTTAAATGCTACCCTGGTCCTGCAGTCTTTTTTTTTTTTCTTTAACCCTTCTAACCTATAGAAATCAAGATCTAACATGGATTGTACCTCATCTTTAGCAAGGCATTTTTCTCTGCTATGATATATGTTGGCATTAAAGCCCAAATGTGTTGGTGGACGAACTGTACCTTGGCACATCTTTATATTCCATGTGTGATAATGGGGCGTTTCTCCTCCCTCTAGTCTCCTCTTCGGTGGGGAATCAGGTCATGGATGCCCCTCCAAATTTCAGGGCTGTGATTCTCCTCATCCCTTCAGGCATCTTCTGAACCCTCCCATGGCATAGGTAAACTATCCCTTGTTTTCCTTTTTTCCATTTAAATTTTAGATGAAATTAAATGAAAATTACATTTTCATTGAAAATTTAAATTTTCATCTGATTTGCCTCAGAGAGCAACTGAGTGACCTAGACTCAAAAACTGGGCATTAAATATAAATGAAACGATCCTTAGTGAGCTGGTCACTCGGTCACTACCATGCTGTGTCTTTGTCCCAAGTTACCCCTGTGCCTTCTTTCCTGGTGATGCATTGGAATGAAAGTGAGGCGAGATTGTCCACTACCTCTCTCTACATGATCAGTGCTATCACCTGGTGATAGGTTGCAGTCACACCCAGGTGATCAACTAGCTATCTTTAGTTTAAGAATAGCAGAGTAATGCTTGGTTTCTGTGTTTTAAAGTATTGCTTGGAAGATACATTTGAATGCAGAAGAATGCATCTTCTGATAAGTCATTCAGTGTTAGGCAGTGTTCTCTCTAGTGTCTCCCTCCTGATAGATCCCTGGCTCAGGCATTTAGAAAAGATATCTGTAGCATGGGAGATAAAGTAACACTGGTCTAGACTGGAGTTTGCATAATACCAGTGGGAGCGGGGTATTATCAAAGGGGAAGAGAGAGTAACGCACTCAGGAAGGAGAATTTTATCTACACTAAGTGCCTTATTGTTAATGTTAAATTATTTTATGAATATTAAAATTAATAGCTTCTAAAGACATTTAAAAAAGTAATTATTATTATTTATCAAATTTGTCCCTATTTATCACAGAGGAATTTTTTTTATAGTGCACTACAATTGTAATTGTCAAATTACAAAAGATATTTATCTACTCATGTAATTATTATAACATTATAGTATGACTGCAAATGAAAGTGATAAATCCAACTTTCTTATACTATCAGTTCGAATAATTTGTATGATGGCTTCTGTAGCACAATAGTCTACATCTTTAGCTCACAACCAAGGCTCCTGAGTTGAATCCCCAGGTGAGACAAATAGATGGATGGGCATGTTTCCTTTCTCCTGGTGCCTCTGTTCACCTTACAGTAAATATGTTCCAAGGAGTTTGGCAACTGTTGTGGATTGCATCCCAGGGAATGTCAGTACATGGGGATCTAAATAAGGTTAATGGGTTTTCTGGCCATCACTATTAGAAACTAAACCATATCACTTTCTAACTTATTCATGCTATTAAGAAGAAAGTAGTTAGAGAATAAGGATATCACTTTAATTACCGTACACCATTTTGAAATTGCTTTCAAATATTCCTATAGTTTTGATTACAGGTTATTTGGTTTTCCATGTTGCTGTAATATCCTTATTAGTTACGTATCTCTTTCAGGAATTGATGAAGATGGGAGTAGAGAAGCAAGTCAACCACTAGCAAAGAGAATTAAGCAAGAAAAAGATCCTGAAGCCGAGGATGAGATGCCTTTAAATACAGTTGGAAAATCTTGCACACTTGCTTCCAATGAGAACAGTGAAGGACAACAAAATAAACTATTTGTACAGGAAACAAACGATCAGCATGAATTGGATCCAAACTTGGTACAGATTGTTGCATCCAAAAAAGAGGTAACTCTTAAAATGTAATGTAACGAAACATAACCTCGCCTTGCCGCCTTTCATTTAGTAACAAGGCTTACATTTCTGTCCATTCACTGAGCAAACTTTACATACATTATATCAGTATCTTGGCTCACAAATATTATTTTGCTGTTATATTAATTTTGTGTGAGTGAGCACCTACATGGCAACAAAGTGCCCATGCTTTGCCCCACCTCACATGAGTAGTGCTCAGAAGGTGGTTGTGAGTGTAGATGGATGAGCCTTCTGGAGGTCGTTCTAAGTTGGACAGTCTTCTCCAGTGTCATCCTTGTCCCAGTATGACCCAGTCGATACAGTACATTACAATACATTTTAAAATATACAGTACTCCTAGTGCAAAGACTAAATATCACCATGTGTTTACTGTGTCTGGTGATGTCATCAGGAGAGCAGGACATTTCATAAGGGAACAATTGAGTGGCTCACTCAGTAAGGCATATTTCATCTATCACTCAAATCTAGGTTGAGAGTTCAAATCCCTAATTGCTGCAATTGATTTTGTAATATAACTGAATTTTTTAAAATTAGTATTAAAATAAATGTAGGAATGAAAGAAATATTTAAGGTTGAACAAAAACCATAAAGCCCTTTTTTTCAGGGGGATCCTTCCCAGTGGTACTCTGAAGCTATCTTAACTATCTTGCTGAGATTGTTCTATCTAATGGGTTACATCAGTTGAAGTAGCAATGTTTGCCCAACCAGGGATCAGAACCTGGCTTTTCCCTCAGAGGCAGAGAGAGCAAAAGACATTCCTCCATTTCACTGGGATAGCATCTAGAAAGTCAGTGAAGCCTTACAGACAACTGGAGGGTTCACACAAAAGAAAGCGTTGAAACTGCCGAACAACTCTGCAAACCATTCAAACAAAACAATGGATTCACTCAAAACTAATTCAAACTTATTAGTATCAATAGCTGGCACCATGCAGCCCAACCCCAGCCCACACCCAGCTTCTCTATTCAGTTCTGTCACTGATGTGATGGTTAATACCACCTGTTTGGCTCCTCTCTCTGTCATGGCAAGCCCCTCTTCTTCAAGTTAAGTGATGGGCCATCTTTGGACTTTATTGGTCCTGCTGTAGGGGGCACATCTACTTAGCTTCTGTGTTGTTCTTTGATTTTAGCATTAGCTTCACATGCATGTTTTCATTCCAGCTTGTGTAAGCTTGGCTGTTGCTCGTGTGTTGTGTAAGCTGTTGTACTCGGTGGTCCTTCTGGCTCCTTGGTAGGCATTTACCAGCTAAACCTTCATTTCTGGCGTGGTGCCTGCCTGGAGGCAGCTATTGGTACTAAAGAGTTCAAGCTAATTATGAAGAATCTATTGCTTCATTTGACTCATTTGCAAAGTTGTTTGGTGGTTTTGAGGCTTCATTTTCTGTGAAGTCTCCAGCTGTCTGTAAAGCTTTGCTGATGTTCTGGATGCTTTCCTGGTGGGGTGAAAATTTTTGCTCGTTCTCTGCTCATCTGTGAGAGGGGGCCAGGTTCTGACTCTGGTTCCTAGTATGACAAACAGAACTGCAACTGATGTGACCCATTAGATGGAGCAATCTCAGCAAGATAGCTTCAGGAAGCCACTGGGGCTCTACATGAAAGAGGCATTTCATTACATCTAATGCTGGGTTTCCCATCTTTATATACTCTACAAATTATTTACACTACTGTATTTCTCTTTTGTGGTTTCTCATTTGGAAACATAATATATTCTTTCATAGCTTGATCGACGAATTGCTGCATTTCAACAACGCAAACGTGAGGAACTAGATGTGTTGAATGTACAAGAGTTCTGCACCTTGGGTGGAGGCACCTCATCGCTTAATTCCTGTGCTCGGACATCAGCAGTTATTTTAAGATCTAAGGGCTCTAATAGTCATTTGAAAAGTAAGTTGATAATTAAGTGCTTTATTCAAGAGTGGAAGATAATAATAAACAATAATTAGTGGATAATTTACTTCTGATGTTGGTAGATGGAAAAAATTAAGATCAAAGGTTGAAATTGAAATTGAAATAAGTTTATTGAGGTAAAATACTGTACACACAAAAGGATGAGGTAGCTTAGATCAAAGATGACATGGAGAAACAAATAGGGAAACAAACATGGAGAAACAATGGGGGCCTGGTAGCTTGGTGGATAGCACGCAGGACTCGTAATTCTGTGGTGCAGGTTCGATTCCCGCACCAGGCAGAAACAAATGGGCAAAGTTTCTTTCACCCTGAATGCCCCTGTTACCTAGCAGTAAATAGGTACCTGGGAGTTAGTCAGCTATCACAGGCTGCTTCCTGGGGTGTGTGTGTGTGGTGTGGGAAAAAAAAAAGTAGTTAGTAAACAGTTGATTGACAGTTGAGAGGCGCGCTAAAAGAGCAGAGCTCAACCCACACAAACACAACTAGGTGAATAGGGAGTAACTGCAGGTTTAAGAAATTGTAGAAGTATCTGAAGAAAATAGGAATGGTGACTATTCAGAGGGGAATGTTTTCCAATGTATCCAGACTTGTCTATCTTATCTATTCCACTTAATATCATGTATGTATTGATCATATCCTACTGCTGCTGTTGCTTTCCTCAAGCGATGAGGTTTGATTTCTCTTAAGTAGTTCTCATAGCTTGGGCCTCATAAATGGGGTACTAACCTTGCTGTTAAGCCAGATTCCTATGTTTGAGGCCCCACTTGAGCTGTTCTCAACATTTTTTATCAATTACAACAGTGTAAACAAGAACATGTGAATTTCTCTTTGAGGTTTTCTTGTTCTGCCGTTTCATTCTCTCACTGGTTTATCTTGTTGGTGTGTTCATTGTTTTGGTTGTCTCATTACAGTACATATTTGTATTTAATGAAAATTGATAATTTGAGACACTACATATTATTGTAGTCTTGGCTTTACCGTGTAGCTTATTAATATTCGTTTCTTTCAACAGTGTTTTTTCTAATTTTGTATTGTTTTTTGTCTTTTTGCTTTCATTTTTACTCAAGCATGTGTAGGGAATTTTTCACATTGATATAGCATATCATTTTCTTGTAATTCCCAAATTAAATAAATATGGAACACTGGCACGTGGCGTCTTGTCATCTGTGCATGCTGGTAATTTGTTCTTTAATATAGATGCAGGAAAGGGATTTTTGCCCAATGAAAATGTATCAGAAGTATTTACCTGAGGGCCATCATCTCACTAGTGGCCTTAATGAGGACAGGAAGTCAGCAGCATATCAAAGGTCCCCCATTTGCTCTAAATAAATATCAACACATCAGATGCATTTAACCTTATTGTTGACAAATTGCTGATAAATTTATCTTATCAATTACAGTGACTCATATTGTCAATGACTGGGGACCTCAGACATTAGGATTGGATCCTGGATCTCTCTCTCCTAATTTTAATGCTTCAAAGGAGGCAATAAAGCAAGGTAAGAACTATTATACATGGTAAATGGAATTGTATTTCAGAGAATATGGATGTATCAATCTATGAATTTAACTAGCATTGTATTCATAAATAATATGCTACTTTGCAACATTGGATTGAAGTATATTAATGTATTAAATGGTGTTTGATTAAGAACATGAAGCAAGTGTGTGCTTCATATTGCACAAATTACAAGAAGAGAAAGTGTTTGGTAGAATAAGGAAGTTCCAGGAGCCGTTAATGAAATAAAAAGAAGGTTGATTTTGTGATACAAAGTGAAGAAGCAAGAAAGCGAGAATAAAGGATATGTAATAAGATTTATTAATCAGAAAAAGAAGTTTAATAAATAAATTAAGCTAAATGTATATTATCTTTTCATAGAGAGGAAGTGCGACAACAGTAACAACAGCAGCAGGGAGAGCTCAGTATCCTCAGGACATTCGTCTAAAGAAACTTTTCGTGATTCTAAGTTTAAACCAACTTATGAGGATACTCAAGATGAAGATGTTATACCCCCTGGTAAGGAGTTTCTCTTTAATCTTCAAATAAAGCCATGTATTCTATGACTAAGTAATGTTGAATTAAATGATAAGTCATAACTAAGTTCACTTATATTATAGCGATAGCTAAATTTAATGTCGACTCGTACAATATGACAATTCAGAGGGCAATTATGGGTCATGCCACATGATTTATTTTTTTGCACCTAAGTTTATTTACTGATTGGTATCAAATGGTTGTAAAAGTCATCCATACATGTCATGACATCATCCAGGATACAGACTCAATAGGGAGGCAAACATTCTTGGGCCTTCCACGAGTGTTCATGCCCACAAATGACACATGACAATGGATGTTTTGTTTATGCATCCTCAATATTACAGTGTTAAATGATAATGGTGGCTAGTGATATCTGATTTCAATTTAAATGAATGATAGTTCAATTCAATGTTTATCTTCAAGTTAAAGAATTATTCAAGTGCAGCTCCTTATCTATATAGGTATTGAGGAGCGGCTTCACAACCTTGAAAGTCACTTAAGGTTGGCCCATGGAGCTCCTGTACCTCGAGATGTTTATGCCAGAATCAAGGCTGTAGAAGACAGAGTGCTCCACTTGGAAGGAATATCACCAGAATACTTCAGACATAAAGTAAGCCATTTGATATACAGCAGTAGTTTTCATATGCTTTCAATACAGCAGATAATAATGCAAGCAAGTACTGTAGATAATTGATAATCAAGATGTTATTGGAAGAGCCTTGAGTAATTCTTCTTTGTTATATTGTGAAAAATTGCATTTAGAATTCAAAAAAAACAAAACGCCTATTATATATTTTGATATGCATTTTCAGAAAATTCAAGCACCTGCAAATACTTCAAGAAAGGTAGAAATTAAGGCTGTTGAGGATGATGTAAGTAACATATTATCCTTGTTGCCATTGTTCTCTAAACTATCAACCACTTGGACTGGACTGTTGAGCAACGCTCTCACTTCTTGCAGGTCGGCGTTCAATCCCCGACTGTCCAAGTGGTTGGGCACCATTCCTTGCCTCTGTCCTGTCCTAAATCCTTATCCCTTCCAAGTGCAGTTTAGTCATAATGGCTTAGCACTTTCTTTTGATCTTGCATCTCATTAGTATAACCAATGATTCCTCTATATCTATGCATGATATATTAGTTGTTTACTACATAAATCAAGATATTTTACTGGAGCTCAAGCATTTGCCTTGTACTATATGGTAGTCATACTGGATTGGATTAAAATGGATAGGTATACAAAATTAAGAGTGTACAATACTGTACTTCAGATATGTTAAGTAGATGTTAAGCTACAGGTAATTGATAATCAATGAAATGATGAAATGAAATGGTCACGGTAATACTGTAGTCAGGTTCATTCTCGACGCACAATCGAGAATCCCAGGTTCGAATCCCGGGCGAGACAGAAATGGTTGGGCAAATTTCCTTTCACCTAATGCCTCTGTTCACCTAGCAGTAAGTAGGTACTCAGGTTGTTGTGGGGTTGCATCCTGGGTAGGGTCAGTAATTCAACCTTGTGGGGACCTTGATAAAAGCCAAACGTGTATGAATACACTCTGTCTTCTTGTCCCCCGACACAGTGAATTATTATTAAAACATTTGTGCAAAGGCCATTCTGTAGTATGTCCTGAAACAATGAGAGACATGACATAAAGAGGATTTGGTTTAACAGCACGTTGAACAAGTTTGGAGCAAAGAGAAAGTCTCAGGACCATTACGAAAAACGATCATTCCATCCAAATGTACCCAAGATGCAAACGAGCCTATGTCCATGCTGTACCCTAGACCATTACCACTGTAAAGTTGGGTGAGGGCTAGCCCCAGGCATCTGACCTTCAACTTTGGACAGACAAACACGGACATTCTCTCTTAATAGTATAGATACGGTAATAAATATATACATATACTGTATGTATATAATGTGACCTTTCACTATACAGGTATTTCTTTATCTTTTCTGGTGTCTCCCCATCCCATGAAATGTCTCCCCCCCCCACCCTGGTGTCCATGAGGTGCGACAGCAGGTAATGATGAATAATTTTTAATAAGAAATTCTGGCATTAGTTTTATTGGGAACTTAACCTTTGAATGTATTTTTTTCAGTTATCGCTAGAGGAGTTAGAGCTGAAAATTCACCAAATAAAGATGAAAATCAAGCAAAAGCAGTTGAACCATGTTTTGTAAAAACTTGGCAGACTCTTTATCGAGTAATTTTTGTATTATTGTTGAAGTGATCGGGAAAATATGTATATGAATCTGCTAACCAATAAGGCAAACCTTTATGAAATTGTAAAATTGTGCACTTCTAAATACCCATGTTATTAAAAAATGATATAAAATGTCCAATTCCATTTTTATTGTACTTTCATCATTTATTTGTACAGTACTGTATGCTGCATTAAAATTTCCAAATGGTTATATTTTACTGTTATACTGTATATATCATATTTTATGATAGCAGGTTATGAAATCTTTAAGTAGCTTGAAAATTTTGTTATTCACAACCGAATTTTAATTTAACACTTTTGTGGCCGTGCGGCACCTCCAGCAGCATGTGGTTCACCCCCTCCTCCCCTCATACAGCCCCACTCAGTGGTATGTCAAATGTTTATTACTCTTTATTAAGTTGCCCTAATTTTTTAATAACCCAATTATTATTATCAAATTATAATTATCAAATTTCTATCAAAATGTTTGGAAATGAATTCTCCAGAATATAGATGAGTAACAAATAGTATGTGCATGGTGTTTCTGAATACTATATGAAAGTATATAAATATTTAACCATTCTTCATTTATTCTCACAAATAAAAAAAATATATGGATGTATTCACATATAATCTATATAAAGGTGTAAGAAAATAAAGAAACATTGCTTCCGTGCATTTATTTTATTAGGTAATTTGCAAAGCAAAAAGGAAATGTACAGGAAAAGTGATTGTCGTGAATACTGGCAAATGATCAGGTTGATCTGTGGTTCGTCCCCTGATAAACTGCACGAACAGTGTAATTGCCCAAGTGTAGTTACGGGATGAGAGCTACCCTCGTGGTGTCCAGTCTTCCCAGTACTCTTTGTCGTGTAACGCTTAGAAAATACTGATGGTGGTTGCCTCCACCACCTTGCTTAACTTGTTCCAACTGTCTACCACTCAAACAGAAAACTTTTTAACTTTTTTTGGAACCTTTGTTTCCTTAGCTTGAATCTGTGTCCTCTTGTTCTTGAGGTTGCTGCTTTCAGGAATTCCTCTTTGTCAATTTGGTCAATTCCTGTTAGTATTTTCTAAGTGGTGATCATATCGCCTCTTTTTCACTGCCCACACACTACAGTATGGGCAGAGTTAAGTGTTTCATCATAATGGTGCACATACAATGATTTAAGAAAGTAATTTTCATAAAGTGTTAAAGCATATGACACATTTTAACACCATGAGACTGATTACACACAATTGTGCATGATGCTTAAATGTCTCATTGGACACCTAAAGTGGTAATATTATAAAGTTTATTTACAGCATATGATATCCCCAAAAATAAATGCTGTTTAGCACTCCAGTATATTCAAAGAATTGGAATACAATACCTGTACTTTTATTTAATTTTTTCAATAAAACAAGAATTCATCCTAGTAATTTTATTTTCCCATAGTGTATTAGTGCACTGAACTGTATTTACCTTTAATATATATATACTTATATATTGTACTGTGTATATATCAGTAGTAAACTTTTGCAGTATTAAGAGTGGGGGTGACACAGTGGATGGAGTCAGCGTGGGTGTTCAGACATGTGTGAGGCGGGTGTTTTGAAATTGTTTATTAATTTTATAGAGGGTCTGAGAAGGAAGGCACAAACCAAATCCCTAACTTTTTATAGACCTTGTATAGTACACTTATGTACTAAATTATGCCTAATTAAGCAATTCCATTATGTTAGTTTCACTTTTTGTTACATTCATAAGAATTCCAGTAGTACAAAATTTGATTTTGAGGGGGGGGATGAATAGCAAAAGTCAATCTGTGTATATTCCATCTATAGCAGCTATGGTTTCTATCATTTGTGGAGGAGGAGGATGATGGATACAATAATACCATGTGATAGAGTAAGACAGTCTGTTAAAACGTTGCAATGGTTAATTATTACTGGTTTTGAATTGTTCTTATTTGCCACACACCAGTTCAAGGAAGAGTGGGGGAAACACAAATTGAGATGGAGGTAGAGGCAATTATATTCTTGGAAAGAATAATGATTACTTATAATTTATAATATAATTTATGTATGATAATTAATAATGGAAAGAATGTGATTACTTTAGATTCATAGTATGGCTGCACAGATTAGGTACGGTAATTATCTAGAGAAAGCACTAAGGCATTCCTTCCCTCCATATCTATGGAGGGAAGGAATGCTGCCCAACCACTTGGACTGGCACAACCATTACTACTTAAAGCTGTTTTTGTTATAAGTTTATGTAAAACTAGACAGTATTATAAAACTGTCTAGGCTTACAAATTAACTGTCTTTCCACAATGCAGTTGATGTTAAGTGCTCTCGGTGAATAATACTACAGTATAAATTTTAATTTTAATATCTTTATGTATATAAATTTATACAGTATGAAGCAGAATTGATTTATCTGCTCTATAAAACACATTAGTGATTTTTTCTTTGGCCAGTAGAGTAGGCTTATATTCACACTTCAGTATATAAATGCCCATTTAATTCTTCAGCAATTTTTATTGTTGATCTCAATGTTATACTGTATATACTGCATATTCTATGTATAATCCCAGTAAAGCAATCAAATGTTACAGCACACATTATAATTTTCATATACAGTATTTAATTCAAACTACAAACACTACAATCCATTACAAACAAATATACACAAGATCTTCTGACCTCATTACTTTTATGTATTTACTTAAGCCACTATGATATAAATGATTGATGCAGTCTGCATTAAGCCCAGCAATTTACGCACTGTATATATTAATATATTAGCCTTAAAAATTACCTGACATGACCAGTCATTTCACTTTAAGGGTTAAAGATTTTAGTGATGAGAGAGAGAAAATAGAAAAACATGTTTTATGAAAAACAAATTGTCAAAATTAAACCATACTGTATATTATACTCTTGACTTACAAAGCATTCAGATCATCCTTTTTTTCATAATTATATATATATATTTATATATATATTTATATGTGTGTGTGTGTGTGTGTGTGTGTGTAATTACCTAAGTGTAGTTACAGGATGAAAGCTACTCTCGTGGTGTCCCGTCTTCCCAGCACTCTGTCATATAACGCTTTGAAACTACTGACGGTCTTGGCCTCCACCACCTTCTCACTTAACTTGTTCCAACCATCTACCACTCTATTTGCGAAGGTGAATTTCCTTATATTTCTTTGGCATCTGTCTTTAGCTAGTTTAAATCTATGACCTCTTGTTCTTGAAGTTCCAGGTCTCAGGAAATCTTCCCTGTCGATTTTATCAATTCCTGTTACTATTTTGTACATAGTGATCATATCACCTCGTGTGTGTGTGCAAAGAAGTGTCAAACTAATAAGTGCCACTGCATAAAACTTTACTATTTTTACTGTTAATCTATTTTTTCCTTATGCATAAAGGGTATTGTACAGTACAGTATATAAAAAAACAATGAAACAATTTAAAAACAATGGCCACCTACTCCAAAACTCAAACAATATGGAATGTATTGTTTGTTTCCTTATACTGAACTACAATATTATATTTAACTAAAAAAATAAAGTTTTCAAATTCATTAACATGTAAGATAATTAAAGTGTGTGAAGTGAGCTGCACAAAAAATTGTAATGAGAACAAATACAGTATGAATAATATAAAACATCTTCACATCTACAGCCAGATATAAAATGTTGCATAACAGAACTAATATATAATTTAACCCTTACTGATGGTGACAGTCTATTTAAATAATAATGACTAAACTTGTCACTGTCCTTGATCTATGCAGTACTCAGTACTGTATATTTCCAATCACAGTTCATGTGGAGAGGTGCCTCTCCAAAGGTATAGTAGTCTAATTAAACAAAATATCCATAGGTCCTTTAAAAAAAAATCAGCATTGAATGTAATGAAACACCATTTTCTGGGCGAGACCCGGAGGCTCCCCGGAGCTATCCGGGGAGCCGACGGGGCTTCTCCCAGAAAAAAATTCAAATTAATTCTCATGCTGGTAAGAAGCTGTGATCCCCCTACCCCCAGCCCCAAATCATATACAATACAAAATTAAAATTTATCATACATGATATAGTAATCACCTCTCTCTTACAGGTTTGCATATAAAACTTTGGTACAGTATAATAAAAAAAACTATGTAAACATATTTCAACAGTATGTCCTTAATATACATTCAGATCAAATGGACAATCATTTCATGAAAAATTTCCAGTAGATTACAGCACCAAGAATTGCACACTCTAGTAAAATAATAACTATTAAAAGTACCTTGTTGTAAAGCACATGATGTGACATGGATCGAATTATTCTTCTGCTTCTACTAAGTTCGGCATCTGTGTCAATCAGCCTGTCTCTTGTTCGAGTCAAAGTTTCTCTTTGAGTTCCTAACTCACCGAGGACATCTGTTCCAATGTGTACATTTTCTATAACAATTTTTGTGGAATTTGCTATGCTTGCCGAGGTTCGGTCTAGGATTGCATTGCCCTGTATCACCTGGAATTGTATTTAACAACAGGCATTATATAACAACATGCTATTGCCTGTTGTTGCCTGTTATATAACAACAGGCAACAACAACATATACATATACCGGTATCTTAAATCAAATATATATCAGCGGTGTATAATTACAGTATCACATACTGTACCTGTTTACGTATTTCAGCATCAAAAGTGTCACTATCTTGAGCAGTAGAATGAGTCCACTTCTCTTGTTCAAACCGTTTCTGATATATAAGGAGATCAAATATATAAATATATATAAATATATATATATATATATATATATATATATATATATATATATATATATATATATATAAATACTACTAACTTTAAAACAAAATGATTATCAAAATATTTTTCATATGGCAAAATTTCAGGAATTAAACACTCGGGTATAATTAATAATCTCAGATAAAACACAATAATACTGTATTAAGAAGTACTAACAATGACTATAGCTTTACAATTACTGTATCAACAAATTCCTTATAATCTGAATCACTGGATCATCCAAACAAAATCTGATATGGTGATAGTCTCCAGTTTACACATTGCTAATCCAAATTATCTGTAACAGACGCCAAGATCAATATTTCGAAACAAAATACCTGTGTGCAATGTTAGAGGAATAAGTGAGAAGTATAAGTAACTGGATGCGGTAAGAGATTTTAAGGAAGCAAAGTTTTATATATACAATATTAGATTTATGAGAGACGAAGCTTAAAGAAAATGAAATTGAGAGTGAAACAGTAAAAATTATATGAGCACCTGTGAAAGTAAATACGTAGCAAAAAATAACCATAAGGTTGTTAATGAAAAATATTACAGCATTGGAGAAATTAACTTTATCTTGTATTTTACACAGAAGCCCCTTAAACTGACAAATTTGAAAGGAGAAATGATTGCACATACTCAGTATGACACAAAATGAGATTTTGGTGGTTTAGAGAAAGAATGAGATAAGAATAATGCCAAGAAGTAACACAATAATTGTGATGGATAATTTTAAATAATATACAGTACAGTGTAAATGGTGTTCTAAAAATAATTGACTTTGCTGTAGACTGAAAAACTTATGCAATGAAAGTTATGAAATGCAAATACATATTTTATATATAAAGATATACATAAGAATATATGGTAGAGGATGAATGATGGAATGGATGAAGAGAAACAATTTGATTGTAGAGAGAAGCTTGTTAAAAGTATGTAAATAATAGAAACACACAGAAATAAGGAGGAATATCTGGAGGTTCGTCTGACTACATATTTATACCTTCTGCTGGGTTTTTCTCGATTTTGGATTGATCTCAGCTTCTCAAGCTTCCCCCATTGCCTTAAAGAAAGCCTGATTATGGTACTGCTCCTGGTAGGATACGGTGAGTTTCAAAGGCCACGGGCAACTCCCAAAGGTTTGCCTGGCCCAGTACATGGGGCCCAGTAGCCATAGTAGAACAGCAGTAGCTCAGGGAGCTACTGAGGAGGGCTCTTCCAGAGATACAGTAATTTCCCAAGTATAATTACAGGATGATAGCTATACTCATAATGTCCCATCTTTCCAGTAATCTTTGTCATATAGTGCTTTGAAACTACCGATTCTTTTGGCATCTACCGCTTTCTCACTTTCTCTGACCTTCTACAACTCTGTTTGCAAAAAGAGAACTTTCATATCTTTTTTGGGACCTTTATTTCCTTAGCTTGAATCTATGACCTCTTATTATTTAAGTTGTAGGTTTCAAGAATTTCTCCTTGTCTATTATGTCAATTCCTGTTACTATTTTGTATACTGTGATCATAAGGCCTCTTTTCCCTTCTATCTTGTAGCCTTAGCATGTTTGATGCCTCTACCCTCTCCTCATAACTCATGATTTTAAGTTCAAATATTAAAGTTATTTTTTTTTATTATTTATTTATTTATATAAACAAGAGTTCCTACATTCTTGTACAGATGGGATCAAGCATGCACCCCTTGACGACTCAGATACACGCTCTACCAACAGTACAGTATATGCTGGCAAAAATATATTTGTCAGTACATACCTTAATAATTCATTGTGGTATCTTTGCACTTTGCTGGTCATAGTGTTTCTGTAGTCAAGTGGAGCCTTCCTGATTTCAATATCCATCTCTAGTAATGAATCATTAGCATCTTTCAATGATCGTTCAATTTCTAACAGAAGCTTTTTCCGTTCTTCTTGGCTCTTACACTGTCCAACCCCACACTGTAATACATAATGCAAAATTATAATATACAGTACTCTTATAAGTTATCATAATATGTTGTTATAATACAGTCTTATAAGTTATCTGTATAAGTTATCACTTATGCAGAATCCAAGAGACCATATTCTGCATAATTAGCAATTAATATTATGTTTCCAATAAGCTAAACATTATTTGCATTTGTTTTCCTTGTTTAAAAAATAGGATTTCTAGTCAGTTACTTGATATTGTCTATTATGAAATTTTAGACTTCTATTAATTTATAGCCTGTATCTTTCTAAACACACTGATTCAATTAATATAACACATTGAAACATTTTTGCAAAGTGATGTCCTTCACTATGCTATATATTAATGGATAGGACAACTCAAAAGAATGTGACAATGAAGGCACTTTGTGTGTAAAAGTAACTTTTGTTAAAACATTTGTAATCTCTTACCTGTAATGAAATCTTTTAAGTATATTTCTGAAATTACATCATAGGCTGCATGAATTAACTGAAGATCCTTCCTGGGATTATCATTGAAAAATCACTACATTGTAGGTCATGATAACTGCACTACTAAAATAATAGTACTGTACTAGGTCATGATAACTGCACTACTAAAATGGTAGTAGTAGGTCATGATAACTGCCCGACCAAAGAACCAAAGTTCAACCCCCACAAGCATAACCTGGCGAGTACTACCAAAAATAAGTACAGTAAATAAATACTGGTGCTTCCTCATTCATATTACCAACTATTACCAATCCTAAAGAGGAGTCATAGACTCCTAAATAATAGTAATTAATATAGGTATGATAAAGCCTTATAGTATTCACTTTACAACGATTTATCATTAAAAATTAGAAATCCATATATAGCACCATACCGAAAAAATTAATTATTTACTTGAGATACTAAAACCTCTCTGGGGCACTGAACCATCTTTACGAGGGTCACTCTTTGTGGGAATATTGTTAAGCTTTAGTATAGTAAAGAGAGAAGTGTGCAGGGTTTGGTTGATATGAAACCTGTAGCAATAATGACTACAATATCAGCTTTGCCATTTTTCAAATGGAATAAGTACTCATCGTCCAGCTGTTAAGGATATTTGTATTGGGAGCAAATGTGTCAAGGCTGGCCTACTCTAAGTACAAAATCTATGCTATTTTTCTAGAGTTGCGGTGTGTTGATCTCAATGATTAACTGACCAATTAAGTATAGCGCCTCAAACCCGCTGCAGGTGAGAGGGTAGAACAATTGAGGTGGACCCCCAGATTGTCAAGTGTCATTATGTAGTAATTGTCAGTTATCACTAGTGTTCAGTTAGTTCACTATTGTCCCATGCAAGAGAGTAGAGACTAAGTCTCTTCTCATGCCAGTGACATGGAAACAATTCCTGCTGTGTATGGTTTACATAGTTCTTGTCCTGATAATCTCAATCAAAGTAGAGTCAAGATCCCTGTGTATCAGTAAGTACGGTTGTTCAATAAACTTATTTTAATAAGTACCAGTGTCTTTTCGTCAGCATTTTCCTAAGTACAGTACTGCCCCCGCACTTATCCTACCTAACTATTATGTACCAGCTCTGGGTATAAAGACTCCCATAGCCTGCTAACACTCAAAAACAAAATTTTTGTTGAGAACCCCCTTGAAGTAATTTCTCTAGAGTAGCGTTTATGTATTGGAGCGAGACTGACGACCCAGTGATGGTTGATACAGTACACCTGCATACTTGTCTAGATACTGATGTGGTGAGCACCCCTTCTCCATTTGAGATACAGCCAATCTTTTCTGGATACTCTCGCATATATTTTCTGTCAACTGATAGCATGCAGACAACCATCATTGGGATTGCTGAGAAAATCAACTGGAGCTTTGAGGTGACTCGAACCCGCGACTGAGAGAATTCCAGCCGCTGATGCCAACCACTGGATTGGTGATTGTAACCATTGTATTGGAATTGGTGCTGTTGCATGCAGTTGCACTCATTGCAGAAATATACATGACCTCACAATTGTATTATGAACATCATATTTCATTATATGCAGTATACTGTGCTGGTACAGTATATTTCTTACCTCTAGTTTATCAGTGACTTGATCTAGAAGTGCCTCTACTTCTTCATCCAACAACTCAAACTTGTGAGAAGACATCTTGCCAAAGCTTCTCTTTAAATGTAGATGTTGTATGTAAAGGTTTGTTGCGTTCTGATTTTAATTCTGAAAGCAAATTATATTCTTAAAATTAAATATCAAAATCTATAAACAAGAATGACTGTCTATTTATTTATTCAAGGTTAAGAGGCCATACCAAACATTGCGTGGCGACTGGTCTTTGTTTGGGGATGGTCATAATTTTATGCTGTCATAGGTAGGTAGGGATTGGTCCCTCCCGCCCTTTGCATGAATTAACAAATGACACTAATTCCACTCTAATTAACCCTTAATCAGACCTCAGAGGAGATTTTTACATTAATAATGACATCTAACCTGCACACATTATAATTATAATAACAATTAGTTACAAACCTTTTTTTGTTACAATATCTGTGTACTGTATTTAAAATAAATATTATATAATGAAGATACAAGTTTTGTTAACTAAAATAAATTAAATATGGGGTATTCAGGATCATCAAAGCTTATTATTATTAGTCTTTACACCACACAACTTGCTCATAATCTCATACATGTCATTTATATACTAGAAGCAAAATATGGATACAGTGCAAGGATTTCAAATATTTTATCATTTGTAATAAGATGGTGTTCCATTTCATGCAGCATGAGTTTATATTTATATCTCAATGGCTCAATTTTATCAGTCTAACATGTGATGCTCTAGTGTGTGTTCCTGTCATTGTCCACACACTTTACACTTTACTTACTCTAGATCCCCATAAAAGCTGAGCTACCAGAGATACCTGTAGTGTTGTAGTATTCGAGCTGTTACAATGCCTGTCAGTTTACTTTGTTACTTGCCCCATACACATATTCTTTTCGACACATTTCATTGTGATAAATAATGGATCTGCTAAATTGTTTGCTCTATTCTACTGTCTTCAAAATCATCACAAATGTTCTTGTCTAACGTAACTTTTTTAAGGGTTCTATTGTAAAGTCCAAGATTACGTCCAACATTGACTTTATTTACTGCAAGCTTTAGTAAGGACATTAACATAACCATGTTCAGGCAGTCCAATGAGAGACAGGGGATCCATATTTTGACTTTGACCCTCATGCATATGTATCTATGTCTGGTTGCGGTGACAAGTTAGTTTAGTTCATTTATTATGCACCCCATACCCTTCTTGTGGGCGGTAGTGGAAAGGGTTACAGAGGCACATAATGGGCTCAGGGACTGAACCCCACAGTTCATTAAGCTAAGCAAGTTACAATCTTGATGAGCTAATTACAAAATTCAATATAAGTCGTCACATCAACAATGGGTTCGAGATCGACCACAAGTACAATTTGACTGTAAGATAATTTCCTGCATGGTGTCAATATCTCTTCCAAAACTGTTTGTTTTCCCCATAAGATAAAGCTTGTGTTTGGCCCGTAAATCAACATTAAAGAAAATCCCTTTCTTGCACCCCACTAACAAAACAAATTGCCATAACATCACAAATATACGTTTAGGGTAATTGTGGGTTCTCTCATATGATGTGATACTTGGCAATTTAATATTAAAATGAGGCAAACCTAGTTTGTTTACATCTCACCTTCGTCGCCGCCCCCAGGTCAAGGCTGCCAACCGACCCGCTCATACCTACTGTGAAAATAACAAGTGGGTTTTGATGATATAAAATAAATAAATAAATGTTTATTCAGGTAAGGTACATACATACAAGAGGTTTTACAAAAATTGATAGATTTATAGATAGAACTAGTACATACAATGCCTAAAGCCATTATTACGCAAAGCGTTTCGGGCATTTTATCGTGTGGATTATGTGACTTTGAATATGTTCAATTAATGACTGATGCATCTGTGCCCTTTCATATAATTTAATTTGACGATGTTCATGTAATAGTGTATGTATGGCTTCGTTCTCGACTCACAAGCAGGTATGGGCGCCTGGTGGCTGAGTGGACAGCGCTCGGGGTTCGTAGTCCTAGGGAATGGGAATCAATCCCCGGCGATGGCGGAAATAAATGGGCAGAGTTTTTTTCACCCTGAGGCTCCTGTTCACCTAGCAGTAAATAGGTACCTGGTAGTTAGACAGCTGATACGGACAGCTTCCTAGGGATGTGTGTGTGTGTGTGTGCGCGCGCTTGTGTTAGAGAGAAATATATGTAGTAAATATAATAGAGGAAACAGATTAGTTAGAAAGGCGGGGTCCAAGAGCTAATAGCTCGATTCTGCAGACACTAATAGTAAATACACACACACACACACACACACACACACACACCATGGGTTCTGAGAGAATGTTCATCTGAGCTCATCATTCCACTTCACCCTTTCAGGCATCCCTGTGTATAGGAGTCGTAGCAGACGTGTGGGAAAAGGCTAACATAGTTCCAATCTACAAAAGTGGCAGCAGGGAAGACCCCCTCAATTATAGACCTATATCATTGACAAGTGTAATAGTGAAAATATTGGAAAAAATAATAACAACTAAATGGGTAGAACACCTGGAGAGAAATGATATAATATCAGACACACAGTATGGTTTTCGATCTGGAAGATCCTGTGTATCGAATTTACTCAGTTTCTATGATCGAGCCACAGAGATTTTACAGGAAAGAGATGGTTGGGTTGACTGCATCTATCTGGACCTAAAAAAGGATTTCGACAGAGTTCCACATAAGAGGTTGTACTGGAAACTGGAAAATATTGGGGGAGGGGGTGACAGGTAAGCTTCTAACACGGATGAAACATTTTCTGACTGACAGAAAAATGAGGGCAGTAATCAGAGGCAATGTATCGGACTGGAGAAATGTCACAAGTGGAGTACCACAGTTCAGTTCTTGCACCGGTGATGTTCATTGTCTACATAAATGATCTTCCAGTTGGCATACAGAATTATATGAACATGTTTGCTGATGATGCCAAGATAATAGGAAGGATAAGAAACTTAGATGATTGTCATGCCCTTCAAGAAGACCTGGACAAAATAAGTATATGGAGCACCACTTGGCAAATGGAATTTAATGTGAATAAATACCATGTTATGGAATGTGGAGTAGGAGAACATAGAACCCACACAACCTATAAATTATGTGAGAAATCTTTAAAGAAGTCTGACAAAGAAAGATATCTAGGGGGTGGTTCTAGATAGAAAACTATCCCCTGAGGACCACATAAAGAACGTTGTGCGAGGAGCCTATCCCACGCTTTCTAACTGCAGAATTGCTTTTAAATACATGGATGGCGAAGTACTAAAGAAATTGTTCACGACTTTTGTTAGGCCATAGGTAGAATATGCAGCGGTTGTGTGGTGCCCATATCTTAAGAAGCACATCAACAAACTGGAAAAGGTTCAAAGACATGCTACTAAGTGGCTCCCAGAACTGAAGGGCAAGAACTACGAGGAGAGGTTAAAGGCATTAAATATGCCAAAACTAGAAGACAGAAGAAAAAAAGGTGATTTGATCACTGCGTGCAAAATAGTAACAGGAATTGATAAAATCAATAGGGAAGATTTCCTGAGACCTGAAACTTCAAGAACAAGAGGTCATAGATTTAAACTAACTAAACAAAAATGCCGAAGAAATATAGAAAAATTCACTTTCGCAAACAGAGAGGTAGACGGTTGGAACAAGTTAAGTGAGAAGGTGGTGGAGGCCATGCAAGACCGTCAGTAGTTTCAAAGCGTTATATGACAAAGAGTGCTGGGTAGACAGGACACCACGAGCGTAGCTCTCATCCTGTAACTACACTTAGGTAATTACACAAACTGCCTGAACTTGATCAATCATGCCCTCTTCTAATGTTAGCACATGGTCTAGAATGCCTCGCGTGAAACCTCGTGTGGGCTCTGCCACATGCTGTATGAGAAAGGAGAATACTATTTAGTTTAATTCAATATTACATAACGTGAACTTTTTGGTGGTTAACCAGTCCATTATTGAACATTTGACCAAATAATTGCTATAGTACTGGGGGCTCCTGTTGAACAATTAAGTCGTCAGGATAAACGTAAACTGACTTACTGTTAATATGTAGCTCTTGTAATAGCACTTTCTCTGTAACTAGCTGACATTGTAACTATAAGGTGTGAAGGATAGAAGAAATTGTTTATGTAATAATCTAAGATGAGGTCTGATAAAGACCTTTTGTGCCCTCTGTAATGCTTTTGCGCTACCGCTCACAGGATGAGTATGGGGTGCACAATAAACTAGCCGCCTTCGGCGGCAACAATCAATCAAATCATGTTGTATACGTGCTTGAGGAACGCCAGTTTGAGGGATTAAAAAAAGCTAGATGCTATGGTCAGATATGTTGATATAAAGCAAGCAAGATATGTGGGTGATTCATGGGCCACGACGACACACGTACCGGATACACCCAACACGTTTCTGTAATGTAATCCGCAAAAAAAATAAAAATAAAAATAAATATGAACAGGGAAAGTGTTGAACCTTGAGAATCATAGTATCAACATAACGCACTGTGTCAATACCCAACACAATCAGAACTGTCAGTTTATTGTACACGTTACATGGGATGAAATCCGACCACAAAAACAAAACAAGGACAATACTGTACAAATACTTTAGATAATCCGCGTAAATTTTGTGCGTTAATCCCTATAGCCGGGAGCCCCGGGACTATCAGTGTGTTGTTGAGGGCCGCGGTGGATGGGTCACGCCCCACGCTTCTTCTCCTTTATCCTCCATTCTGCTGCATGACGTGAGTGTTGGAGCCTGCCGTGTACCTTGGGTGATGGCCACCACCCCCCCGGCGAGTGCCACCGTACGCACGAGTGCCTCTAAATTCGAGGGTCGTGATAAAACAAGTTGGGGGAGAGGAGGATCCGCCCGCCAGGTGGTGGCGGGGGGGAAACTTAAGGCCTCTGTGCCAGTTCTAGGAATGGACTCGCAAAGTCCTGTGTGGTGAAGGTATTTTGATGGTGTAGGGTAGTTATTACACTCTCGTGTCCTGTCGTGCCCAGGTAGCTGCCGGTACCTTGCGCCGGGTTCTGTCAGGCATTGTAAAATGACGAGAACAGCTGCTGGCTTAACATAGGCCGGTATATCCTGCCAACCCGTCAGGCTTGGCTCGGTATATGCAGAATATGCGTCTGGCTTGGCTGGCTGGCTGCAGAACACCCGTCTGGCTTGTTTTGGGGTATTTATTTCTCGCTGTCGGGACAAGAAGCCTGTAGTTTGGCTTATCGACGCCCCCCCCTACCCCAAGGCCAACTATTGACCTTCACCAAGACTACACCACTACAATTTCCTATCTCTCCGGTACCTGTTATATTGCTAGGTGAGCAGAGACATCAGGAGAAAATAAATTTCCCAACAGTTTCCCCTGCCTGGGGACTGAACCTGGGTTACAGGTTTGAGAGCTGAGCATATAGACTACTGTGCCACATGAAGGCTATCCATGTGGTTTGCTTGGGTGCTTGGAAGGGAAGGGAACTATCAGGTGGAAAGCACCAAGCCATTACGACTATATAGCACTGGGAAGGGATCAGGATAAGGATTTGGGATAGGACAGGAGGAAGGAATGTTGCCCAACAACTTGGACGGACGAGGATTGAACGCCGCCCTGCATGAAGCGAGATCGTTGCTCTACTGTCCAGCCCAAGTGGTTGGACATTGGGTGCTTGGAGAATATCATCTGACTTGGCCAGGAGCACGAAGAATAACCATTCGGCTGCTTTTAATACAGTATTGTATTATACATTACCTAGTACTGTACAGGATTTCACTCCTGTCCCCTCAGAAGCTGCATTGTGCAGTAAAGTGATGTACAGCATTTAATTTTCTAATTGTAGTATAATTTATTTTTTTCATATCGCATTCCCCCTCTAACTGAAATGTAGCCAACAGTTAATGTCCATTACTGTATCTTGTAATTTGCCAACATCTTGTACTCTATTATCTGAAATCTTAATCCATTTTAGACTTGATGTCTTATATAAAATATTTAAGCCTGTTATACATTTCAGTATCTAAATAAGTAGGCTTAAATTGCTTTGCTCCAACAGAATTTAGTGGCTAGATGACGTCATTGGGCGACTTCCACAATGTAAGTCGGGCAGAGGTGGTGACAGATGTCCTGAATATAACAGAGGGCGAGGAGGCACTAGAGTTGGCTAGCAATGACATGTCAAAGTCACTTGACATTTCACAAATGTCTTTAGAAAGTGAATCCATGGATAGGTATGTTTTTGCTAGAGTTTTAACCAAAAAGTGCTGCACGTTTGAATGCTTTCTTAATTAAGGTTGAACTAGGCTTAAGTGGAACGTTCTTTGTTATTTAGAGACTTAAGATTTGATTTTAATTTTGTAGGTGGCATGTGTGTGTTTACTAAGTCTTATTCTTATTGTGCATAAAAGATTTGTTTCAGCATAGGCTATATTATACGAAAGGAGTAGCTTTTTATTTGGAAACGTATAGTTTTGGTAGTTTTGAGTTCTTAATTTCTGTAGGTCACCCCAAGTCTTTATAGTATTAATTGCTTTGATACAGTACAATATAGGGTAAAGTCACCAGCTGGCATTTACTTCTTGGAGGAAGGGCAGATATAAAATTCATTGTACTGGATTAACTTTACATATGCAAATATTTATGGTATTTAAAAATGAGTGTTTAGAATGTCTGAACTTGTCAAGTTGGAAAGACTTGGTAATTTTCAGAAAGCCAGTATGACTAACTGTAGCACTTGTCAGGTTGGAGGTTTTTGTTAAGCTGACATAAGGAGTTAAGGCAGAACCTCAATGTATGCAGATTTGGTAGCTTAAATCCCAGAAGATGGGCAGGTTTTGATTCATTATATATTTTTGTAACTTTAGTAATTTATAAATTATGATCCTAAGCTTTAAGTATGGTATCTTTAAAGATGTTTTAGGTTTCATAAATAGTTACTGTATATAGTTATAAGTGTTAACAGGTGACTTGATACTGTGCTTACCTATTAGTGACTTCTACTCCTCGTCTAACTGCATTTCACTTGGCCATTCAAACAATATGATTATAAGTACGATACTTCCATGCGTGTCCCGCTTCCACTGATGTTCTCTTGTCCTTTTTTTTATATCAATTTTAAGAGAGGCTAAATCTTAATTACTTTACCCCTCACAGTGGAGATTGCCTGTGTTCTTTCCCCAACTTCATTATTGTATGTACTTTGCTCTTTCTAGGATTGAGTGATGGCCATTTGTCTGCCTACTCCTGAAATTTAGATTTTCTGTAATTCTCTGCAGTCTTCATTTACATTTCTTATTTGCTTTGCATTATCTGCAAGTATTGATGTGTAAAAGCTTACTGTCAGTCTGGTCATTAACGTAAATCAGGACTGTTTCTTGGGAACCCTATTTGTCAAGAGCTTCCAGTGCAGCAACACCTCTGTCTATTTCCCTTCTTTCTCTGTCTATTAGGTACTTCCTTAACCAGTTCAATATTTTCCCCGTTTTACAAGGTAGCCTTTTTATCTTGTACACGAGCCTCTCATTAGAAATGGTATTAAATGACGTTTGAGTCTAGGAATGGCTGATAGGAAGCAACCCTGTCACCTACAGTCAGTTTGGCTTTACTTTTGTTTTATTTAGTTAAATTTGTTTTAAAACTATTAAGTTTGTCAGGTATGAATTCTCCCTTCTAAATCCATGTTGCCCATCCATTAAAAAGCTAATCATCTCCAAATGCTTCAATCTCATTTTGATTTCTTTCACCAGCACTTTACAAGAAATGCATGTCAGTAACCTGGTAAGTTTTGGCTTTCTCATTAGTTGGCTGAAATCCAGTCAATTCAATGGAAATGTCACTTAGACCATTGGGATCTTGGAGAAATTTCTTGGCAGTCCCAACTTTGCATGCCTCGTGTGTCTCCTGGACCAACAGTAACTGTGCAGGTGTCTTGTTGTATCTTTTACCTCAATTTCATATGGTGCTCTTTTTTTTTTTCTTCTGAACTGATGCTTTCCTACCTCATGAAAGCTGGGAGGAAAAAGTATACTGTTCAGTATTGATGACTATAACTTAATTTCATAAGCTTAATTTTATATTGGATTACAGTACTGTTTTTTAATTAGACTTTGTTCAAAATCTAAATACTATACTTTTTCTATATTATAAGAATGAATTACAATTATTGAGAATTAAAAGTGCATTACTTGAGAATTACAATTACATATTTAATTTTAATTTTAATATAATTTTAAGTGTTCCCTTTAAAGACCTAATCTAAAAAAAAATGTAATGCTATGTCTATCTTTAGTCATTGTTCTTAATTTACATTACAGAATTCAGAAGTTTTTAAAATATCTATTTTATTTTATTGTAGTGAAGTCATGGATACAGCTGCAGACTCCTCCAGGGAGTCGGCCCTACAGTCGCCAGACTCTGCCATTGGTGTAACGCCTACCTTGACACCTGAACAAGAGTTCCAGAACACTATTCCTGAGAAGCTCTCTGAAAGGCCTATACAATTCATAGAAGATACACAAACATCAATACAGGTAGAGCAGAATAGTGAACTCGTTGAATCTGGGGCAGAGAGAGAAAAAGATGATCAGAGAACACAAGATCTGGAGCAACAGGTATACAACTTTATTCTAATATTGCACAGGCACATAATTTGTTTGGACTACCAGGCACCACTTGCTAATGCAGACCATACTATATTCAGTATCATTAAGGTAAACTCAAATATTTTTGAACAGGGATGGATGGCATCTGGGTTTTATTCATGGTAATCCTCTTGGAGATTGCAGTGTTGTTTTAACATTCGTTGGTCAGTTTGGTTAGTCATGGTATGAAGAGTTACCTCATGACACCGGATGGTTTTAGAGCTTGAACAAAGCTCTGGTAAAGCTTTCCACATGGTAAAACATATGATTCCCGCATCCATGTACTTTAAATGTCTTTTATTATGGATTCTGCAGTCCATGGATCAAGGGCATATCGCCGAAAAGTGCTTGTATTATATTGAACATCTTGCAAAATGTTTAATGGCTTCCATTTTTACCCAAAATAGATGTGGTCTGCATTAAATCTCTCATAAAACTGAATGTAGGTTGCTATATACTGTACAGGGTATCAAATGTAGTTAGGAAATAGTTTATAGCTAAATATACAGTAGTCTGGTGAGCATGAGTATAATATAAGTGATGTACAGTACTGTATTATGTAGATAATAAGAACATTATCCAGTATCTTGAATTATTACCTCCAGAATGCTGAATCAAAATGGACAACAGTAAGGTAAATGTTAAAAAATAAGCAGAAAATGATCCACTCGGTAGCAAATTGAAAGCAAACCAACTCGCTTGGAAAGGGGAAGGGAGATCCTTCTAGAAAGAGGTGTTTCATTACATTCGACGCAGGTTTTCTGGAAAGGGGGTCACTCAGTGGATTCCCCTGTTAATTCACCACAGAACAAAAAAGTGAGAAACTTGCCAGAGGCTGATAAGAAGCAAGCCCAACCCTGAAAGGTGTGAGGGGTTAGGGACAAGTAACCTGGTTTATAGCAACACAAGCCTGATGGAGCTTAGGGATAATAACTACATAAGCCACCAAAATCCACAAATCAGAATATCGGCCCAAGACATAATAAAATAAACGCGGACAAAGTTGCAAACATGTGCATCGTGGACTTTAGGGTAAAATGCAGTCTGGCTAAACTTGATGACACTGTGGAAAATGTGAAAACAAGGAACCAAGAACAATTAGTCAAATCACAACACAGCAACCTGGTGCAACCTTGACGACATGCAGATAATGACAGCTGAAACCAAACCCAACAAATGATGCACTCTTAGCCAAACAAATAAACAATAACCAGTGGACCCCTGCAGAAGCCAATGGTCTTATTATTGGCCAGAAATAGGGATGGTAGCAGAATAAAACGCATGCTTTCTAAGGAGAGCACGTAGTGCCTCAACCCAACAACTGGTAGTGAGGGCTAATAAAAATAGCCTAAGTAGAAGAATCATGGATTAGAGGGGGCAACAGGAAAGAGACCATGTAGGCTCTGGAGGAGAATGAGCTGGCAGAGGTAAAAAAAAATTGAGAATTTGTGAAACGGTTCAAGAAATATTGACACCGAATGCAAGCAAAAGTGGCTTTGCCTATGTCAAACAAAAGGAAAGGCATAGTTGGGACAAAAAGAAAGCAGCTATCTGTGGACCACACAGATGGTAATAGATCAAAGTAAAAAAGTCAAAATGCAAAGAATGGAGGGCATCCTTGAACCAGTAAGGAACGTCGAGGGAATAGGGTGAACTGGCAGAAAAAATATGGGTTCGGAAAACAAGCCACTCGAGCTGGAAATCACACATTAGGATACCATGGAACCAAAACGACCACTTCCACTTTGCCTGCAAACATCTCCAATCTGGAAAACACCAAAAGCAATAGCTAAACTGATGGGAAGAATTACAGGAACTTGCAATAGTCTGTTCAACCGAAAGCATCCTCCATGAGAGCCTCGCAAATGGGGACTGGAACAAAATAAGATGGAATCTGCTGGTTCCACGCCGATGCGAAGAGGTGCACCTTGTGAGCAACTGAATGTCTTGCAGAGCTAGTTGGACACGTCATCAACTGGCCATTCGGTTAAATTGGGATGAAAATTAGTGTGCGCTCGCAAGCATGGTGAACAGTAACTGCACAGAGAGCTAAGCCCTGAGAAACCAGAAGAGCTACTCCAAGTCCAGCTCTACAGAAGAAAGGACTGAAGCGACCACATGTGACTTGGGCATTGAATCACTAGGAAACAGTTGGAGTGGAGGCAGATCATGGAGCCTTGAGGGAGACAAAAACACTACACCCCACCACACAGCCGCAATCGTGAGTACCATGTTAAGCACCCATTGAAGAAAGGCCCGTTCAGTGACACTGAGAGGCCTGCTGAGCACGTTACAAAACCCCAACTCGGGGCCGAGGTGTCCATAAATAGGTTGTGGCATCGAGGAGGATGGTACCATTGAACAGATTACCAAAACGCCTGAAGAGAAAACTAGTGAACCTGAAGCTGGCACAGGGTAAATGGCACATCCAGTGATCCCTATGGTTAGAAAGGAACGAACCAGCAGCAGAGCCAATCCCTGCCCAGGAAAAAAATGAGCAGGCAAAGAATAGGCACCCCTTCGACTGAATAAGCAAATGCCAAGGAACCCGAAAGAGAAGCAACAGTCACAGACTAGGCCTAACTGTCCAAATCATCAATGGAACTAGCCAGGAAGTATGCCAAATCACTTTGAACCTGAACTTAGTGAGCTGGGAAAGCGCCAGATTCCCTGGCTTGCAGACAGGTTGGGCACCCAAACCAGCCAGTCAATGAGGCTGACTCTCAGAACTGCAGCCTCCAAAAAAAAAATCACACTCAGTGCCCAAAAGTCTGAGAAGTCAGAACAAACCTAAGGGAAGGACCTGTAATGAGGCTAAAGGGGCTAATGAGAATGCCCTGATGAAAATAAATGGGACAAACCAACCATTATTTCTTGTCTGAAAGAAAATAAAAAACCCAAAGAGCCGCCTGCAATATATTGATTAAATGGATGAAATCCCAACCCAGGTGAGTTGGTTTTAAGAATTTTTTTTTTAACAACCCTGTTAAATAAGAATATGTGTACAGTAATTTCCTTCCTCATTTCTATACTCTTAACCTATAATATGGGCATATTGTTTTAAAAAGATCGCTCCATGGTGTGCATGTCACCTTAATATATTTTAGGTACTTTGCAATATTGGTAATTTTAGCATGGCCCTTTGCTTGGCCCGAGGTGGCCCATCCAGGGCACCTCGTGCTTGATTAATTCACCTGTACTTGATTAATGCACATGAATTGTGACGTCATTGCAAGACTTCCAAGAGTTAACACATCCAAAATAAGTCTTGTACTATTTTTTTTCCCATGATAAGGGAACGCATTTTACCAATACAGTGGCACCTCAATGAACGTGTTTAATCTGTTCTGGCACCAAGCTCATCATGTGAAAAACTCGTATAGCGAAACAACAAAAAAAACTCGTAAAAGGTGTCCGAGAACCAGCGGAAACGCTCGTTAATCGAGGAAAAGCTCGTTAGTAGAGACAAATGTTCTGCGAGCGGCTTGCTCGTTATTCGAAATGCTCGTAGATAGAGCTGCTCGTTAAATCGAGGTGCCACTGTACGTTATTATATTGGAAAGAACAAAAAAATTGTAATATATTTCCTTGCGCACTGGGGGGATGTCGGCTATGAAAGGCGTTTGCAATGCCAAGTCATTTTACTATAAAATTAAGAAAATTAAGTAAGAGTTCCACATTGCTCTTTAGATTGTGCTCAAAATAGCTGACTGGGGAAGTGTTGAGCTGGCATGAGTGTTGAGCAGTGAGTCGGGGGACTCTCCTTGTACATGGGGTAGAGTATTTACTAAAAAATAAAAAAAAAACTATTAGCAATGCATCTATCTATAGCTGGAGAACTCTACATGTTGTTGCAGTAGTTGCTGATGCTGTAATAGTTGTTACTGATGCAGTGGATGGTTGTTATTATTGAAGTGGTTGCTGTTGCAGCAATAGTTGCTGCTGTAGTAGTTGCGGTACTTGCTGCAGTTCTTGAAGTAGTTGCTATAGTTGCGTAGTTGCTGCAGTTCTTGAAGTAGCTGCTGTTGCAGTAGTAGTTGTACTAGTTGCAATACATATTGTATTATTTGCATTAGTTGATGGTTTTGCAGTAGTTTCACACGTAAAATAGTTTGCTGCATATTCTTTAAATAATGAAAATTATTCAACTTTCATAGATTTCCACATTGCTAGACATAATCAAGGACAGTATGAAGTTTAACACTGTGACTAGTCACTCACCATCTTGCAACCAACTTACCTGAGCAAGAGTAGGATGCTTCTTCAGTATTGATACGATGCTTTACAGTATATTGAGAGCAATGGTAAATTGTAATTTAGGCTTAAATAGCTTATTGAATGGATTCTTTTTCTTAATTCACAATATAATGAAAATCAAGTACGTTAAGTACATAAAATTATAATTTGATATATAGTTTGTTTAACCTTTTATGTTCTAAAGTATAAATCAATATTTTATTTTCTCACTTAAATCCAAATGAAATCAACAGCAGTTAGAAGAGAGTGGTGGAGTTGGAGAGATCTGGTATTCGCCTGGAACTCCAGTGGAAATTTATAGTCTACCATCAACGTCCTTTTCATCAATTGTTGTTGAAAATGAGAATGTGGAAAGTAACAAAAGGAAAGAAGGCCATGATGTGTCCCGGGGGAGCGAAGGCGGCCACGATGTGTCCCGGGGGAGCGAAGGCGGCCACGATGTGTCCCGGGGGAGCGAAGGCGGCCACGATGTGTCCCGGGGGAGCGAAGGCGGCCACGATGTGTCCCGAAGGAGCGAAGGCAGCCACGATGTGTCCCGAGGGAGCGAAGGCAGCCACGATGTGTCCCGAGGGAGCGAAGGCAGCCACGATGTGTCCCGAGGGAGCGAAGGCAGCCACGATGTGTCCCGAGGGAGCGAAGGCAGCCACGATGTGTCCCGAGGGAGCGAAGGCAGCCACGATGTGTCCCGAGGGAGCGAAGGCAGCCACGATGTGTCCCGAGGGAGCGAAGGCAGCCACGATGTGTCCCGAGGGAGCGAAGGCAGCCACGATGTGTCCCGGGGGAGCAAAGGCAGCCATGATGTGTCCCGAGGGAGCAAAGGCAGCCACGATTTGTCCTGGAGGAGCAAAGGCAGCCACGATTTGTCCCGGAGGAGCGAAGGCAGCCACGATGTGTCCCGGGGGAGCGAAGGCGGCCACGATGTGTCCCGGGGGAGCGAAGGCGGCCACGATGTGTCCCGGGGGAGCGAAGGCGGCCACGATGTGTCCCGGGGGAGCGAAGGCGGCCACGATGTGTCCCGAGGGAGCGAAGGCGGCCACGATGTGTCTCGGGGGAGCGAAGGCGGCCACGATGTGTCCCGAGGGAGCGAAGGCGGCCACGATGTGTCCCGGGGGAGCGAAGGCGGCCACGATGAGTCCCGAAGGGGCGAAGGCGGCCACGATGTGTCCCGGGGGAGCGAAGGCAGCCACGATGTGTCCCGAGGGAGCGAAGGCAGCCACGATGTGTCCCAAGGGAGCGAAGGCAGCCACGATGTGTCCCGAGGGAGCAAAGGCAGGCACGATGTGTCCCAAGGGAGCGAAGGCAGCCACGATGTGTCCCAAGGGAGCGAAGGCAGCCACGATTTGTCCCGGGGGAGCAAAGGCAGCCACGATGTGTCCCGAGGGAGCGAAGGCAGCCACGATGTGTCCCGAGGGAGCAAAGGCAGCGACGATGCGTCCCGAGGGAGCAAAGGCAGCCACGATGTGTCCCGAGGGAGCGAAGGCAGCCACGGTGTGTCCCGGGGGAGCAAAGGCAGCCACGGTGTGTCCCGGGGGAGCGAAGGCTGCCACGGTGTGTCCCGGGGGAGCGAAGGCTGCCACGATGTGTCCCGGGGGAGCGAAGGCTGCCACGATGTGTCCCGAGGGAGCGAAGGCAGCCACGATGTGTCCCGAGGGAGCGAAGGCAGCCACGATGTGTCCCGGGGGAGCGAAGGCAGCCACGATGTGTCCCGGGGGAGCGAAGGCAGCCACGATGTGTCCCGGGGGAGCGAAGGCAGCCACGATGTGTCCCGGGGGAGCGAAGGCAGCCACGATGTGTCCCGGGGGAGCTCTGAGGTGTCCCGGGGGAGCTCTGAGGTGTCCCAGGGGAGCTCTGAGGTGTCCCAGGGGAGCTCTGAGGTGTCCCAGGGGAGCTCTGAGGTGTCCCAGGGGAGCTCTGAGGTGTCCCAGGGGAGCTCTGAGGTGTCCCAGGGAGCTCTGAGGTGTCCCAGGGGAGCTCTGAGGTGTCCCAGGGGAGCTCTGAGGTGTCCCAGGGGAGCTCTGAGGTGTCCCAGGGGAGCTCTGAGGTGTCCCAGGGGAGCTCTGAGGTGTCCCAGGGGAGCTCTGAGGTGTCCCAGGGGAGCTCTGAGGTGTCCCAGGGGAGCTCTGAGGTGTCCCAGGGGAGCTCTGAGGTGTCCCAGGGGAGCTCTGAGGTGTCCCAGGGGAGCTCTGAGGTGTCCCAGGGGAGCTCTGAGGTGTCCCAGGGGAGCTCTGAGGTGTCCCAGGGGAGCTCTGAGGTGTCCCAGGGGAGCTCTGAGGTGTCCCAGGGGAGCTCTGAGGTGTCCCAGGGGAGCTCTGAGGTGTCCCAGGGGAGCTCTGAGGTGTCCCAGGGGAGCTCTGAGGTGTCCCAGGGGAGCTCTGAGGTGTCCCAGGGGAGCTCTGAGGTGTCCCAGGGGAGCTCTGAGGTGTCCCAGGGGAGCTCTGAGGTGTCCCAGGGGAGCTCTGAGGTGTCCCAGGGGAGCTCTGAGGTGTCCCAGGGGAGCTCTGAGGTGTCCCAGGGGAGCTCTGAGGTGTCCCAGGGGAGCTCTGAGGTGTCCCAGGGGAGCTCTGAGGTGTCCCAGGGGAGCTCTGAGGTGTCCCAGGGGAGCTCTGAGGTGTCCCAGGGGAGCTCTGAGGTGTCCCAGGGGAGCTCTGAGGTGTCCCAGGGGAGCTCTGAGGTGTCCCAGGGGAGCTCTGAGGTGTCCCAGGGGAGCTCTGAGGTGTCCCAGGGGAGCTCTGAGGTGTCCCAGGGGAGCTCTGAGGTGTCCCAGGGGAGCTCTGAGGTGTCCCAGGGGAGCTCTGAGGTGTCCCAGGGGAGCTCCGAGGTGTCCCAGGGGAGCTCCGAGGTGTCCCAGGGGAGCTCCGAGGTGTCCCAGGGGAGCTCCGAGGTGTCCCAGGGGAGCTCCGAGGTGTCCCAGGGGAGCTCCGAGGTGTCCCAGGGGAGCTCCGAGGTAAAGCAACACCAAATTAGTGTGGATAAAATGGAAGTTGACAATATTGCAAGGTTATCCACTTCGCTAAGTCGGTTACGGATAAGCTATATTCCACCATTAATTACTCTCTCTCGAGAAGTTGTAGAAAATTTCAGCGTTGCTCAGATGACGAGCATGACCCAAGAAATATTAACTGCCTCACCATTCTCTGTTGCAAATAAATTGGAGAAGGAAGGAAAGAAAAGTGTTCATGTTAAATCAGATGTGTGTGTACCCACCAGTACAGGTGCTGAGGATGAGCACAGCAGGGTAGACCAACTCGTTGGTCAACTACCCACCAGTACAGGTGCAGAGGATGAACACAGCAGGGTAGACCAACTCGTTAGTCAACTACCCACCAGTACAGGTGCTGAGGATGAGCACAGCAGGGTAGACCAACTCGTTAGTCAACTACCCACCAGTACAGGTGCCGAGGATGAACACAGCAGGGTAGACCAACTCGTTAGTCAACTACCCACCAGTACAGGTGCTGAGGATGAGCACAGCAGGGTAGACCAACTCGTTTGTCAACTACCCACGAGTACAGGTGCTGAGGATGAACACAGCAGGGTAGACCAACTCGTTTGTCAACTACCCACCAGTACAGGTGCCGAGGATGAGGATGAACACAGCAGGATAGACCAACTCGTTAGTCAACTACCCACCAGTACAGCTGCTGAGGATGAACACAGCAGGGTAGACCAACTCGTTTGTCAACTATCCACCAGTACAGGTGCTGAGGATGAGCACAGCAGAGTTGAACAGCTCATTTGTCAAGAGGTAAATTACTGAAGTTTGACTTGTCATGGGCAAGAATTTTTGTCTTGGTAATTGTGAGCTCCAGTTACAAAAGTTTAATTTAGTTTTAACTTTAAGCCACACTGTACTAGTGATATTGATCATGTCCGTTAGGACATGACTGATTATCTTTCATGCCATGTTACTTAGCCAAATAATTTTTATTTCAATTTGGATAAAATTTTTGGTTTAGTTTTCTTTACCAAAAAACTGAACTTTGTGAGATTTTTATAAAATATTCAGCAAATTTCAGTCTTTCATTGGTAGAGGGTGTGGGGTACCTAATTCAAGTTTGAATTATTTGAACTTTTGATTACAATGTCATACAAAAAGAGCAATGTATTTTCTTTGAGATCTCATACCAGTAATTATATACAGTACAGTAATATGAAATTTGGTGTTGAATGTAAATAATTTACCATCATTACAGGAAATTTTGTTCTGGGTATTTTGTTTCAACTTTGCAGTTTTATTGGAAAACCCTTAATGTCTTTTATCAACTTCAGTTTCCTAAATTTTGTTTAGTGCTCTTCTTTAACTCCTCTCTCCACCTCTTCCTCTCCCTTACTCCACCCCAACCCCACCTCTACTCCACTCCAAGCCATTGTACTTGTGGTGGAGTACTCTTGCTTGTACTCCATACCATATCTGCCTCTGGAAATTTTGGTAAAGTTTCAGAGTTAAAATCCGAGTTAAGCTTATCAGCTATGGCAGGCTCCGTGATGGATCTCGTAAGTTTTTGTTTTTTATTGTGACTTGATTGCAATTAAAAAGTCCAATTGCAATTAATTTGAGCAATTAAGCAATTTAATTGCAATTAAAAAAGTCCAATCCAAAAGTCCTCCCATTCCAATTGCTCTGTCTGCCTCACTCAGCTTTTCTTGACTCTTCGTATACTGTTTGAAGTGGTCGTGTTCAGCTCTGATCTTTGTTCGGGCAGTATTGAAATTTTCGAGTTGAGGTTTACAGCAGTTCTGGTGAGCTTGGCCTGGTGTTTAGTCCTGGCATATTGCTTTAAGCTATTACTTGGGTGGAGCTTTGTTTCAATCTTTTGTAGTTTTTTCCTTTTCTTAGATGTTCTGAAGTCGATTATGTCTTGACCTTTGTAATCTTTCTTTCGCTCTTTCCCACATTGTTGGTGGTTGTCTGGTCTTTTCAAAGTTTATTTGATGGCTATGGAGTATTTTCTTTCCAATTAGGAGCTTCTCATATTAGGAACTTCACACAAATACTAGAGATAAAATAACCAGAAAGGGGAAATTTTTTGATTCGAGGGGAGGCTGCGGCTGTCACGAGAACAGCGAGCCTTCAGCGTGGGTGAGCACTTACATGACGAGGTCAGGATGCCACGTTAGACATACAGTGGTACCTCAGCTTTCGAATTTAATCCGTTTCCAGAGACGGTTTGTAAGCCAAAAATTTGTGAACTGAAGCGAATTTTCCTCATAAGAAATAATGTAAATTGAATTAATCTGTTCCACACTCCCCCAAAAAATTAACGTCAAAATAAATTTTATACCTAATTCACCCAAATCATCAGTACTAAAGCATGTACAAGTTATTGCTTACCTTTATTGATGACTCTTGTTGGCATATGGAAGACGGTGAGGAAGGGAGGAGGGGGGAGGAGAGGTGTTAGTGTTTGGAGGGGGAGTCCCCTTCCATTATAACATCGGGCAGTGATGACTTCTCTGGAGTACTCTCTCTGGCACATTTTGTCTGCATACCACTAGGACCTGCTTGTGGCTCGCTGCTTGATTTTCTCACTAAAAATCTATCCATAGAGGATTGTTTTTCCTTTCGTTTTAACACTGTCTGTAGTGAGGCATCAGTGTCATTAAAAAGGTTAATGCGACGTCCTACTACAGCTTGCTCTGGGTGAGTCATTTCAACAAAAGTTTGTGTTTCTTCCCACAGCCTACACCACTTCCTAATTATTGAAAGACATTTTGTACTGCCTCCTCCTTCCCTGAGGATATTCCTCAGCTGCCTCTTGTTGCTGCTCCTTGTGGTCATTCTCACGTGTGTTTTCTTGGCTTGAACCGTACTACTGGCTTTCTTGGGACCCATGGCGAGATATATAATAACTTTTATGTTCAAATGCTCCAAAATCCGAAAAACCTCTAAATTCTTTACAAATAATTCAGAAGTGATTGTCACTAGGCGGGACGCACTGGTAAGTAGACGTGGTCACCGTACCACCATACTTTAGGATGAACGTATACGCGTATCAACAAACTTCCTTTCCCGAGGCAAAGTTCGTAACCCGATTCGGATTTTACGAAGAAATTGGGCTCGTAACCCGAAAAGTTCGTAAAGAGGGGCATTTGTAAGCCGAGGTGTCAATATACATAGAATGGGAAGAAGTTGGTGCTCATTTTAAAACAAGTCCCATAATATTCGGGCAATAAATGGAATTTTTGCACATTTTTAAATTATTAATGCCATTCACATCATCCAGCATACTCCCTATTTTGGTTTTATGACAGAATATGCGGCATTAGGCAGCAAAAGTGTTAATTTAACATCACTTAGGCTCAGAATCCTGCATTTGCCAGTATTAAACTATCAATCTTTTGTCTTTGAAAAGCCTGTGTAAATAGTCTTGTACACTGAATATATTTCTAGCCTCCTTTTTTGTATATACAAATTTCCTAATGTTGCTGATGAATCATGTCTAAATAATTCATGTATTTCGTAAATAACAGGTTCCAGGACAGACCCTCTAGCATGCCACTTCCAAAGTTACCCTCTTGGATCTAAGGTCATTTATGCTATTTCCATTAAAAATAACCATTCCCTTGTCCAACATAAGCTAGCAATTCCCTCCACCCCTAATTCCATGAGTCTTGCTTTCTAACCAGTCTTTCATAAGGCACTGTATGAATCAAGGTACACAGTCGCAGTCCTTGCTTGGATGATGATACACTCGAGATGTCTGCCAGGTTGTTCACAGGTTGTGATGTTGGCTTCCTGAATGTGGTGCTCAATTTCAGGGATGGTGTGCCTTAATGCTTGTGAAATTTGTTGCCTGGTATTCCTACCTGTGAGCTTGGTGGCATTGCACCTGTTCCTTCTATGGGTTTCTGTTCTTGGCCGGGACTTTGGCTGTCTGCTTCTGTCTCCACCCCTTGTCTTTGTTTTTTAGTGCTTGAGCCCAGTTCCATGACTTGGTGGTCTGGTTTTTAGATTCACATGGTTTGCATCCCCTTGCCTGTTAGATTTCTGGGAATTTTAATCGTAGACAGCCGATTGTATGCTATTGCTCACTTGCCGTGTTCCTGGCTGCTTGGCTGGTGCCTCTGGTGACCTAGGCTGCCACATAGTGGTGGTTAGATGAATCATGGTTTGTGGTGTTTACCCCTCTGTAATGATCATTTGCTTCATTAACTTTTGGTACCTAATTTTGCTACTATATTCTTATCAATATACATGTAGTAGCAAACAAGAGTTTGCTTGTTTTCTTTTTTTGTTGTTGTGGATCTGACTTGCAAGATGCCCTCACCTTGTAGAGTGAGCCAGATTCGGCATCTGGTAGGCAAAGGAGAGTCTATGAGGCCTGGTGCAACTCCCTTAGGCTTCACTAGCCCAGCACTTACCTCAGAGAGCAACTGAGGGCTCCAACAGAAAATGGAGTTACATTTCAATCAGTGGTTGATATCTTGGAAGGTCCCCTCAGTAGCTGAAAGGTGATGACTTCAAGGGATATTATCTATAAAACCAGTATATGTTGATTATATTTATTTATGTATATGATCATTTAACTAAGTTTTAAATATTAAGTTTTGCATTAATTCTGGAATGCCTAAATTACTATTAAGCCTAGATGGGTACAATTCTCTTGGCTCTGGGTCACCCATATGAACAATTCTTAAAATATTTAAGGAAAAAGTCTATATTCTGTCCTTAATTGCATATACAGAATTTCAGATTAATTAAATTCTGATACTGATGTCAGTTTCTGAAATTTGGATAGTGTTACACCGTAATTGTATGTTTTGTATTTGGTAGGATTCTGGAAAAATAAATACGGGCATATAAAGACAAATACAAAAAGAGTCGAACTTAATACTGTGCAGCATTTTGAATAATAATTTTAAGGCATAATGACCCCATAATAACAGGGTTTTATCATTTATTTGGTAATGACCAGGAACGTGTTAAATTTTGGTAATTAATGTACAGTACTGTACAAGGATATATAATCAAAACCCCAAATGTTTAAATTTCTTCAGTGAAAAGCAACATATCGTGTAAACCAGAATCATCCCAGATGAATTAAAATGTCATAGTACATTAAATGTACTGCTGTTAAATGATCACTAAATTCTTCTGTGTATATTAAAATATT